CCTAACCCTAACCCTAACCCTAACCCTAACCCTAACCCTAACCCTAACCCTAACCCTAACCCTAACCCTAACCCTAACCCTAACCCTAACCCTAAACCTAACCCAATTCAATTCCAGAAAGTCTCATGCCATAGCCTCATGTTGGTCACTGTAACACAGAACAAACACTTTTCTCAGAGATGACCAAGTTAGGCACTCTAACCAGACCATCTTGAGGTTAGATGGACCTCACACCATCAAATCTCTAGGGTTTTGGGCGCTGCTTCACCAGCTGGCTTCCCTCAGCCCTCTCTGGATGCCTATAACACAAACTCCAAAAACCCTATTGGGAACCCCCTTGTAACCCTAACCCTAAGCGGCATGTGTGGGCTTGATTGCGGAGCGGCACACAACACGGAAGCCAATCAGACACCGAGTGGCAATAGGACGTCCGTTTGCGCCTGCGACCACAACGCCGATTGACAAATACCGTTGCGCGAGTCGCAGATATGACCGGGATGGTAGAAGTGCCGGTGCATAGTCAAGCCCCACATCTATTCCAGTCAAGAGCACAACGACACAGTGCCCCGACTCATGACGATGCCGGAAAGATCCGCATGTGGTGTAAGAGGGCAGAACAGGCCAAAGGTGAATGCGCCACCCGCGAGTGGGTCAAACCAGCCCACGAGGCGGAATGGCGCGTACAGGAGACGCAGGCAGGTGAAGGGAAAATGTCTGCCTGCATCAACACACTATCGCGCACCCAAACAGCTGCGGCACACTTGCGAGGACTCACCGGCAGAGGGACGTCTGCGTCTAAACCGTCCACATCCCACTTCTGACGAAACCAGCCTAGAGGAACAGCACCTTCCTCCACCACTCTTTTCTCCGACACCCACTTCAGTAAAAGCAGGTGGGGATTGGACGGTTTGCGCACATCAAACACCCGATAACGAACAGATTCAGTTAATAGGGCTTGCCTGACCGACCGGGTCGCATCCTGGACTCGCTTCGCAAAATAAATAGCGGATCGCAACGTCAAACTGGGCCAGTCGCAAAGTCGTCGAGTCCGTACGCTTGCAGCGCGATTCGAGACCAGCGATCGTTGAACAAAGGACCGCGATCTTCGTGAGAGGTAGCCAAGAGCAGAATAAAAATGGGCAAATGTGAATGTAGATGGTCCCCCATACACCCTACAAATAGAGTGATCCGACAAGGGATCGCGAGGCCATACTTTTGAGTCTACGCTCCAAACCGCGCAAATAGAGCGCAAAGTCAAAAGCGTCACAAAACGACGCGAGCTCAAAAGCGTCACAAGACGACGCCAAGTGAAAAGCGTCATGAAACGACGCTATACGCACCACAGCAGTGCTCTTTGCTCGAATGACTTGCACTAGGCATCAACCCTGCGGACCCCAGACACGCCCCACGGCGGACGCGGTTGCATGCACGACGCGCATGACGCGCGCCCGCGGGTGCCGGGAACCCAGCTGATGCAATCGATGACTTTGAGCAACCTCTGGCCTCTACTGCGTCCAAGGACACCCTATCACCGTGCGTTGACCGCGTCCGCGGGTGCCGGGAACCCAGCTGATGCGATCGATGACTTTGAGCAACCTCTGGCCTCTACTGCGTCCAAGGACACCCTATCACCGTGCGTTCATATTGGTTTAACAAAAATGTTCAAACCCCATCAAAGGCCGCTTGGCGCAATGGTAGCGCATCGTGTTTCTACTTTATGCCGTTTTCCGCGAGGGTTGCGGGTTCGAGTCCCGTGGCGGCCTTTTTTTTTCGCAACGGAATACGTTTATCTCTCCGGATGGAATGCGCATTGCGCGCCCGGGCAGCAGGACAGGAGCCTGCTCGAGCAAGTTGCTTATTTCGAGAGTAGTGTTAAGGTGGCACTCACGCAGATGGCAATTGTTCGGAATAAGCCGTTTCAAATCTTGATCTGGGCCGCTAAGGCGCACGCGTATGCGTAAGTGGTGAAGCAAAAGAAATTGATGCGGACGTAGCGTCGTACATCAAGCTAAGATGATGGGCGTGTGAGCTGTCAAAGCTCGCTTCCTCTCGTCATCCTCAGCTCAGCGCAGTCCCGACGTTAGTCGCAACCAGTCCCGGCCTCGAATTTTCCGTGCGCACGGCTCAGGAGCACGCCGCAAAGTCATGAAACCTGGGCAAAAGAAACAGAGATGGGGCTCACCTGCTTCCACGAAAGGCGACGCTGATCCTTCGATTGGATGACATGTTCTGTAGCTCCGGTCTTCCACCGTCACCGGTGCACCTTTAGCTTGGCAAAATCTTCGATGAGTGCCGCCATTCAGCATGTCGCGATCATTTGAATCCCGGAGCATCGGTAAGCCTGTCTATAGCGGCTTTCGTCAAAGACCCATCTACAGACCAAGAGTCACTTGCATCTCCGTGTCGCGCGCGCGCGACTGCGATCCCCTCGCGTAATTCCAGGCGCTGACAGCTTTTGCCGGCAACACGTTGGTCACACGGCGTTGAGCCGCTTTGTCATTGTGCCATATGAGCTTGCAATCGTTCCAGCCTTGCGAGACAGGGCGTCGTACGGGTCGAGAGCTATTCTGTCAGCACTTTTTTGGGCAATGATAGACTTGGAAGGTCGGCTTGGGTTTGCATCCAAGATTGGACAGTAGAGCGCCTTCCTTCAGATAAAGTCTGTATGCGGCTGTGCCCAACGAAAACGTGCTGGAGTAACGCGACGCGTTCTTTCAAAGATCAAAAAGAACAGGCAGATCCACTAAGCAGACAGCTGATTTACCGGCCACGAGGAATCTCCGTTTGAGCTTGCCAGGCCGGTAGAAGCTGCTCATCGTGTGATCGCAGTTCGCTCCTATGATCGTAGTTCGCATTGCATGATCGCAGTTCGGATCGTATGATGAAAATAATGCCTGCGCAACGCGCAAGTAAGTCTAGCATTTGCCATCGACGCCATGAGCCTGGCCTCTAATGTTGTTGGGCAGGGAGGCATCGAAGTCAGGTTGTAGATTGCCATAGTCGTAACCAGACGCGAAGGGTGAATGCGCGATTCGCCTTCGCTTTCGCCTGAGGCGCGGCCGCCGGTGTGCCAACATGCGCCGAGAGGAAGAGCTTTGCCGGACGCCTTGCTGTTGATAGGACACTCTCGCTTAGTGCAAATCTTCTTGTAACCCATCAGAAAGGCTGTTGGTTGTAGAACTGAAAGCGGAAATTGCGAAGCCGGCCCGTGTGTGCATAGTCGAGCTGTGAAATTCGCCATGCGAACCATTGGTACGCTCCTCGGTTCTGGGCCCCCCTTGCCCTAAATTGCCTGGCGGTGTGAATTGCAAAGCTAAGATGATGCACGGATCACGTCACGAAGATCCTCCGATGGGATGCGCCTCCGCCAGGTCAGTGAGCGTTTTGTCCTGGTTGTGACCGAAACAAGCTTTGGGAGCCGCTCCTGAAATGCGGTCCAGCTTCACAGAGATATGCCCAAGTGGCAGCGTGCGCTTTTACCATTTGCAGCTCGAGTCCATTGCTTCTGGTTCCTCCTTAGTTGTCAACATGTCACTGATTGAAGCTTGGAAGAGCTTGTCGCGTCCACGCCCTAATTTTGCGTCCGCTGACCCATCCATAATGTGATGCACGTATAGCTCAAATCTCGCTCCGCTCCGTCAATCCCTGATCAGCCGGTAGACCCTCCTCGGCTGACCACAAGTAATACACTTCGTCGATAAGTTCAGCGATGGCCTTCTCGTGTCGTGAAAGTGAGCCGCATCTCGCCACACACCAAAGAGTACTTGCGGCACGGATTCATCCGCGTTACAAAGCGGCTCTTGAGATTCAATATCGAGCGCTGCCAACAGTCGCTGGATCGATCCATCGAATGGGACCACCGGCGTGCACGTCCTATGAGATGTCTCCTTGCCAACAACACGCCGCATTTCTTCTGGCGGCAATGTTCCTACTGGCGTGTAGCCGTCGCAGTCTGTTCACCGAGATAAGTTCCTCCAAATCGCATTCGCCTTCCATACGTAAGAGTGAGTGGGATGCGCGCCGTAGGGCCTTGAAGTGTTCAATCTTTTCGCTACCCTTCGTGGCGTTCTACCTCCCTTTTGCATGTCGCAAGAGTAATCTCCATCGTGACCGTATGAGAAAATGTTTGCTGACGCAAGGGTAGATCGCACATTTTCGGTCGGCAAGTGGAGCCTGCGTCTTCCCATCACGAGATCCGTCTGGATTGTCAATCACATGTGCAAGACCTTTGCGCTCGGAGGCTAGTCACGCCGTCCAACGCTTGTCTGTCGCTGAGCTTTGTGAGGAGCGCACAGTCCTCATAATGCTTGAGGTAGCTGGAGAGTCTAAGAACCGCCCATGTCCCTTCATGAGTTGAGTAGGTATGGCAGACCTTCGACTCATTGTCCACTCCATAGCGTCTGCCCGCATTCCTTTTCCGCCCCGTCTTCGGAGATAGGTTAGCAGGCGAAGCTTACGCGCTCGGCTCACGACGAGCTCCTTTGCCAAAAGCTTCGGACTAGCGTTTCAGCGTGTTTCCGAGATGTTCGACTGAAGAGTGTTGGTGGAAGGACCGATCGCTACTTTCGCAGATCGTGAGTTGCCGTGGGTCTCGCAATACTGCAAGTTGCCGACCGTGATCAGGGGTTGCGTGGGCATCATGTTGTCAACCGTTGCGGTATAGCTACAGGTATGAGAAGCGTGCTCAGATTGAGCAATTCTCAGCCGCAAAGAAATCCGGTAGGCGCCATCAAGATTTGTTGTTTGCGCTTTCAACGTACCGAGCCGATAATAAGTCTAGTGCGGTTGGTGAATCAACAGATCTATGCACTTTCTCACGATGAGAGCCGGCGCCCGCACATTATTGCCGCTTCACAATACGTCTACGGGGCACCGATGAGTCGAGTCGAGCCAGAGCTGGACGAGACTCGTCTCACCTGGTTTCCCGTCTCTTCCATTGACCAATAGCGAGGTATGTAGGCCGTTTGTCCGGTGCACAGACGCATAGAGCTCATGCGTGTGCGCTGATCTTACCCCTTGACTCTGTACATCCACCGTACATTGTTATCCGCAATTGTAGCGAAGTCGGCCCGCCTTCGTCTGACGCGCAGGCAACGATGGCTCCGGTCCGCAGTGAGACGTGAACGACGGCGACGGCTTCATGTCAGCTTCGGTGAGCATTCTCCGCGCTGACAGTGGGCATAGCGATGACTTCGATCCGCTGTCGAGCCCGCTTGAGCGTCCAGGACCCGACTTGTTTCTGACGCACCATCGCTGCGTTTTGATTTATGCAAACAGAGCGCGCTGTCCTCTCTCTAAGCAAGCATACGCTCACTTTGGCAGGGCCAGCCAGCGTGCTGCTGACCTTTGACGTGTCGTCGTCAGATCAGCACAGTCTTAGGCTACCCTTCATGTCGTCAGACGAGACCTTGTTGAATGACAATGCGATTTTCGAACCTTGATGAGCTTGGCGCGGTCTCGCGACTAAGTGATGTCTGGACACTCTCAAAGTTCCCCTCTTGAGAGCCTTGGCTATGCGTTGCGGTGGATCTGTCCAAATTGGTTGACGAAAAAGTGGCCGAGGACAATGAGAGCAAATCTCCCTGTCTCCTCCAAATCTCGCTCGGAATGCACCTGCTTGGCCTCCGCGAGGTCGCTCAGATATGGACGAAGGTCATGGTCGCGGTACCTCGAGATCTCCTGAGTGAAGAGCGTTCCACCGGACGAGGAGCATCGCCTCTGACACGCAGCAGGGCACCTTGCCCTGACGCACCTCTTGGTGACTGCACTCGTCATGCTGGAAGACAAGCTGGTGCAAACTGGTCAGGTGTTAGCTTGAGGAGTGCTTTTCGAGCGGCAAGCTCGCCCCGCTCCATGACGCCGGAGTTGGCCCCACTCCATGATGTGCTCTGGATGCGGTGACTCTGTTCTGCGCAGAGTCGCCGGCCTCGGGGGCGACATTGTGGAAGGGAGACGCACCTAAGCGGCTCTCTAACGGTGCCTTTTTCGTCGTTGCAGCCCTCATCAGACGGACCACCACCGCCTCCTGCAACGGCACCTATGTTTGGGCGTGCGGCAGACGCCATTCACTACGCGACAGACTTGCCTGACTTGTGAGATGAGCTTGCCGAAACCCTTGACGTTAGGCATGTCGTAACCCCTGCATTTCTGCATGTAAGACCACCTAGAGCCCATCATCCCCTCTCTTCTCTACCAATACATTCATTCGCAGCGCTATCGTGACCTTTCCCACATGGCTGCTTTCCACCAGCGCGACCGCAGGATCCTGCTCCGACGGCAGACTTGGATGCAGTAAGCGAATCGGTGGACGGCGGATTACCCTCGACGGGGCTTGGCTCTATGTCGGATGCGCGTGGACAGGACAGAGCCGGGCTGGTGCTCGCTGTGATGCGTGCTGACCCTGACTTGGCCAAGACAGCCGTGCTCTACGACAGTTGCTGGCGTCGCTCGCGCCTCCCCTCCCCTCCCCTCCTTAGCCTCAAGCCCTTCTGCGTTACTGAGTCCGCCCTGACTAACAGCTTACATGCCTGCACCTCGACCACATATATCGGCCTTGCAAGAAGCCTTGCGCACGAGCGGTTCTGTCAGTTACGATTTGCGCTGCGCGGACTGAGCGACCCTAGCTGAAAAGGCAGTTGTCGCGGGTGAAGCGATGGAGTCCCGACTCGCTGCTGTCGCTTTGCCCTTTGAAGCACGTCGACGGATCGGGTCGACAGAGAGTCGCGTGCTAGCAGGCGGAGCAAATGACCTTCAGATACTGCGCGGCGGAATGATTCAGGAACCTTGGCTCGAAGCAGCTTGCGGAACTCTGTCGTAAGGCTGCGCACTGATGTGAGCTCGAAGATGTGACTCATGATCATTCAAAGAAATGCATACTTTTCAGATTTGTGAGTGTCGCGGTTGTCCTACGAAGGGATGATGGTGGTCACGTTGCAGGTGCGTGCATCGTGCATGTGATGCGAGTCCATGCAGCGCGTGCGTGACAGAACTCCAAAAACGCGACAGGACACGAAGCGCCCGCCCATCCATGTGGCATCGTCCTGCGGATTCCGCCAACTCGTTTCCAATCAGCCAGCCGGCGAGATGGCCTAGCAACGGGACAGAAGCTACCCGTCAGCGTGGTCTGGCGCCAGGGTTGCACGTACAGTGGCATCGGCATAGTAGGTGGTCTCATCACAGCGCCCACTCCTTACTTGCCACTTCAGCAGCGGCGCGCCTCGATCCAGCTTGCAAGTGCGCTTTTGCCGTCTTGACAACATCCGAACGGTCTTGAGAAGCAGTGTTTTATGCGACGTTCACAATTACCTGTGGCCACTGAGCGTACCTTCTGGGTGACTTGGCAAGGGAGAGGTGATGCACAGGTCCTTTGCAGGACATGTGGACTTGAGTCAGAGGCACACTGTGAGCAAGGGGCACCTGGAGGTTCAAAGCTTGGACTGAGCAGGGTCTCTATCCCAGTCAGAAATTTTCGGCAAAGTAGCAGCCGTGCTGGCAGCCTTGTATTGTGTAGCGCATGCAAGCGAGAATGACACAATGTTGGAGAAGCTTGCGCTGCCAGCAACATCACCGGTCCGTCACAGGTCACACCGGCTTGCTCTAATTGAGGGGTGTGCGCTAGGTGTACATGCTTGGCAAGCTGACCGTGGTCAGCCTCTGTCAACATTGGCGTGGAGGACCCTGCTCCTGCCAAGTATAGTTTGCTGTAAGGGTGAGGGTTTGCTTCAGTGATTGGCCCGGTAGTATGTTATTGCTGGTTGGGAACACCAGCTGCTGGTAGCCCCAATCCTCTGCACTCAGTAGACTTCTGTTGCATGGCGTCCGCATTGTCCAGCGGAACGGTCAGGTCCGAGGGTTGAACTGTGAGCAGCTGAGCAGGGTCTCTACCCCAGCCAAAGAACTGCAGCAAGGTTGCGGCTTGGCCAGCGGCCTTGTGATGCGTGGCACACTTGATGGCACGATGTTGGAGAATCTTGCGCTGCCAGTCAAGCAGCATGTCCCTGAATGCAAGAAGCGCGGGGCTGGGAGTGGCTTTGCGCTTGCAGTGCCGCTTTATGGTCTGGTTCTGGCCAGTCGGGATTGCTAGGTGGCGCTTGAGGCAGCCTTGCACGTTGCAAGTGAACCAGCGCGCTGTGTTGCAGAATGGCAACGGGTTGTCTGGGTCTTCCTGCTGCTCCACTGCTGTATCGCCTGACGCCATGTCTCGACCAATGTAGTCGATGAGGCCTTTGAGCGTCTTGCGCATGTCGGCGTCTCCTGCTATTCCCAGTTGTGCATCCGTGCGCCTGGTGCGCAAGACGAGATGGTCGACTGCTTGCGCGAGCAGGAAGTCGCTGGTCAGCGGTGTTTCGGGCTCTGCGTAGACTGTGTCGGTGGGCAGGACGCAGCCCTGCAGAGCGACCGGAAGGAAGCGGGAAGCGGGGTATGTGACGGCGCGAAGAAGGAGGGGCTGCGGTGCATTGACTTGCTGTAGCCAGCGCTGAACGTCGGATGGCCAGAGCAGCTCAACAGATTGCAGGTCGTTTGCATCCGTGATCATGGTGAAGGTGCGGCCGGAACAGGTGTGGTGGAACTCTTCTCTTGCGAGTCCAGTTACACCACAGTGGCGACAGGAGAAGGAGAACACTTGGCGGCTTCTATACGTAGATCGCGCTGAGCAGAGAAGGCCCATGGCAGTTTCCGGTGCAAGGCAGGCGGTCTGACCTGCTTGACTGTCGAAGACGCCGGCTGCTCTGCCAACGTCGAGACCTGGGGGCAATGAAATGAGCCACGCCCACCAGCCTTGATCGCCCACGGTGAGGCCCTGCGGGCAGGGGACCCTTGCGAGGGGATTGCTCTGCGCAAGTTCGACAAATCGCTGGCCTTGTGCGATGCGCGCGGGGCCGGCAGAGCTCTTCTCTGTCAATAAAGCCGTCTGGATGCTGTGCTTGCTAGAGTGGGCTGATTTTTGCTGGGCTTGCCGCCAAGCTTCACCATCTGACAGTGCTTCCAAGGCTTTGAGGTTAGTTGCCAGGCCTCTGGCAGACCGCACTGTCTGCCATGCTCGGTAATCGTCTTTGACTTGGCTGATCTCTGCGTCCAGCTTGGGGGTCGCTGAATCTGCAGCTTTCTTCAGTGCCAAGGGGTCGCCGACGAAGTTCGGCGCCATGTGCTGGAGCGCTCTCAGCTTTAGGCAGCAGAGGAAGATTAGCTGAGCGAGGGCGCTCTGACGGACGGGAGACCCGTCGTACTTGAGGGATCCAGGGTGCGGGAGCACAACAGCGACGGCGTCAAGTCCCTCCACGACCGAGATTGTCCCTGCATACTTGTGCATTTCGACCGTCGTCGAATTTGCCCTCAACAGTGTAGAGGCGACTTCGGAAGACAGCAGCGCCAACACTGCAGGATAGGCCACGCCTCTTCGCCTTCGGAGCCACTGAACGCCGAGGAGGATCCATCGCAAGCACACTAGATGAATGATCCACTCGTAATGCTCATCGAGTGTTGAGGCAAAGAGATCCAGGAAAGGTCCGGTCTCGAGCCCTGCTTGCGCAGAGAGGTATCTCCAGAGCTTGGGCCCGCTGCCCGCTGCCTCACCGAAGAATGTCGTGTGACCGAGAATGTCACCCATGGTGATGTCCTTTCCGACGCAGATGATCTGGGCAGGCTCTGCGGGAGAGAGAGCATCCAATCCGTGTACCGCGTTCCTGGCGGCTTGCCTGGCTGCTTGCAGGCCAACAATGCGATGATGAGCGCGAGGCCGGTTGACGAGCCACCACTCTCTGGCTGTGAGCTGCCAAGAGAGCATGTGGGTGTAGGCCGGGGCATCGTCAGCGAGATGAGCGGAGGGCAATGTTGTCGGCGCAGTAACTGCGCTGGGTGCTTGTGCAGTGTCGGCCGGTGTCGAGATGGTATACGCCGCGCAAACATCTTGAACTTCCTGCTCAATCTCGGTTTGCTGGTTCAAGACGATCTGGTCCGTCAAGATGCCGCCATATCGAGCACTGTTGAAGGATCTTGTGGGTGGACCAAGATTGATGAGGACTCTCTCAACGATGCCGATAGCAGGTACGGTCTCCAGCACGGCATCGATCGCGGGGGAGGTCGTGGCTTTAGATGAACCCGCAGCTTTGAGCGTCGTCGTCTTGAAGGATGGCATTGGAAAAGTAAGACCAGCCACCTTTTGCAAGAGGATTTCTTGGACGGCCACGTCCTTTTTTGCTGTCAGCTTGGCTGCTTGCACCATTTGGACTCTAAGCTTGTTGTTCAATTGCACGTGGCACACATCCTGCCATGATGGGGCAGTTGTCTCTTCTTCTTCAAGCGGGATGGACAAACTTGGTAAGTCAAACGTGATGAATGCCGAGTGTCGCTCTCCCAAACTTGACAAAAATTTGGTGAGCATGGTGCAACTCTCTCCTTTCTCATCGTTACGAGCTCTCTCTGCGCCGGAGACATGACTGGAAAACCAAAGTAATTGTCGGACCTGCCGATCAGGGTCTCTTGGAGGAAAAATGGTGCCAAGGCCGAGGTGGGGAATTGAGCAGCGAAGAGTAGGTGGGCATTGTCGGGTGAGCAGTAGTGAGCTTGGTCAAAGGTTCCTCCAGATGATCTGCACCTCCAGTAGAAGTGCGCATCTTGCGTGACGTTGGTGGCAGACTCTTTCAGCTGCAATTCTTGCGGCGAGAAGCGCCCAGAGTCCATACCAAGGAGTAGGGCCTCGCTTGGTGCCAGGTACATGTCCCAGGAACTCTTGCTGACCTGTGCAATCCCTTGAAGCGCAAGTCGCGCATTGACAGCGTCAAGGAGGCCGAGTGACTTTGCTTCCAGGAGTGGTTGTTGCTCTGTCCAAAGAACCTGAAGCTCCTGCCTCAGAACCACATCAGGCATGTCTGCGGCATGCTTCTCCAGCGCTCTTGAAAGCTTTGCCGTGGTCACCTCCACCTTTTGCTTCTTCCATGCCCTCTGTTCCTCTGGGTCCAGGTCCCGTTCAAAGTCTGCAGGCCCATCGCGACGCTTGCTGACTCTCAGGGACAAGAGAGGAGAGGTGCGGTGGGCGAGCGGGTCCACATTCTTGACGGCATCTGGTACACACATTTTCCTGCTGTGCAGAGTGTCGCGTCAATGAAAAGTTTGAACGAGCGTGCGCTCGAGTGACAGACTCACCCTTACGACAAACTCGTGTCACTGAGCGAGAGCGCGAAGCTGCTTCTGAAGGAGAGAGGGTGAGCGTGCAGTCTGATGGTAACGAATGTGTCACGTGCATCGACGCACGATGCGCGCCTAGATGCGCGCCTACATATACACCCGCATGTCCCACTATAGATCTTACCTCAATACCATCATCATCCGCGTGTCTTAGGCGTGAAAGAATGACGTGAGCAGGCGGGTCGCGAAAGGTGAGCAGAGACTGAAGGGTGAGTAGCGGGTCACGGGTAGACTTGGGTCAATTGCAGATACACTCGGATGCACCGTGTGCAACTTATTGGCGCGACGTGTCGCACGTCAAGTGCATGTTTTTCGAACTGACTTTGCAGTCGAGTTTGTGCGCATGGCGAGTCGGAAAAGGATAGAATCTACAAACGGCAATGCAAACTCGACTTGCAGAGCCAAAGGGTGACACTCTGCGCCCCTCGATAAAAGTCTCTCAAGCGACGTTTTCGCAGCCGCGTGACGCCAACATTCCACTGATCGTCCGTGGACCATCATGCATGCATTCGGTGCTGTGGTGCTACATGTTCCTGAGATCGAGTCCCGCGCGCGCTTGTCGTCCTCGCACCTTGCGCACTCGCACCCGCCCGCTCGCGCTCGAAATTCCTCGCACCTCGGGCGCTCGTCTCGCACCCGCCCGCTCGCGCTAGAAATTCCTCGCACCTTGGGCGCTCGGACGGAGCAAGCTAGGTTTCCGCAGCGTGTTACGTGTCAAAAAGCGATGAAGCGTCTTGCCTGGCTCGTTGCCAATGAGCTTGGTCAGCTCCTCTTCGTTCAGATCGCACAGCTCTGTCAGATCCCTGACAGCGCCCATGACGTAGTGCACATTCTTCGTGGTGATGCCTGGAAGACTGAGCAGGATCTCCTGTGGCGTGAGATTGTATCCGCCGGCCAAGCCAGCAGCGGACAAGGCCGTCTCGTTGTTCGCGCTATTCTCGTCGGTGCCTACAGCGGCGACTCGAGCCATGTCCGGCTCGTCGTAAGATGCCTTGAGATCCAAAAAGATGTTTGCCGTCTGATGGGAAGAAGACGACCAAACAACGCGGAGGCGGTGGAAAGCCGAGGTGAGCAGAACCAATTTGCTCTGAATGTCGAGCTCGTGAGGCTTGGTTGTGCGCACATTGGTAGACCGTCCGTGCGTCTTTGCTTCGGATACGGTCTGGCATACACGAGGGTCAGACGCACACGAGGGTCAGACGCATCACCAGACTCGCGAGCGCCGCGCCGCCGGCTTACCTGCAGCGAAAAGCTTTTGCGCTCGTCAAACTCGATGAGTAGAATCGGATGAGTGTAGTGGATGGACATCATCTCGCACTGAGTGTACCTGTTCGCCATCACTCCCAGCAATCGTTTTTGCTCTGTACATTCAGCAGTGTCGCGGACCGCACGTCTCGCATGCGCACTCACAATCTACCCGAGTTGAATGACTGCACCAGATCCGACAAGCTCTTCCTCTCGACGCACATTTCCGGTGAGAGGACATAATCACCTACCTGCAAGGTGCAAGGCTTGACCTCGACACCCGCGGCATGGAGCATGGACGGCAAGCTGGATCTGAACTCTCTCATATCGACGATGATCCTCGGCGTCTCGTTTGTGACGGAGATCTGGCCCCCAGCCATTCTCGAATTGATCGTTCGGAGAGGTTGCTCCACCTCGGTCGAGGGTCGCCCATCTGCGAGCAGAGGCAAAGCCATGTTCGCCTTTTCTCGGATGAGGCGCTCAAAGGATTCCTTTTCTCGACGCATTTCCGACAAGTAGCGCTGCTCTTCTACGCTCTCGGCGTACATGAGAAAGTAGACTCTGACGGCATTGGCAATGGGTGAAGCTCTGTAGCACTGCGGCGCAAAATCGTCGTTAGCTTTCGCCCTCGCACGCAAAATTTTTCTGCCACAAGACACTCCTCTCACCTCCAAACGCCTAACAAACGCGGGATTGGGGTCGTACAACACTATAAAGCGCGGTTTGAGCTCTTGCAGCATATTGTCATCTGCATCGCCCCGATACGGTCGCACAACGACCAGCTCTTCGGGACTAAGTATGCCAAAGTAATTTTCAAACTCCATTTGACTGAGCATTTGGGTGGATGGGGGAGCGATCGCGTTTACCAGTCCGCCTTTCGCACCACCTTCTTCCTCGTCTTGATCTCCCACATCATCGTCATCTGCATCCAGATCTACGATGCTTGGCATTTCAATGTCCGCTTCGGTGGCACCGCTCATGATCGCTTCTTCTCGTCCACGTGCAAGCGCTTGGGACATGCTGAGGCAGAGCAGCACAGCGTCGACACCGTTCGGATTCGTAAGACCGCCCGCCGCTTCACTAAAGACAGCCGCCGCACCACTCACAATGTCGCCACGCTGTCCGACTCCTTGTCCATGTCGGCGCCCCTTTCGGCTGCGCCGCCCTTGACTCGAGTCAAAGGAACCCCACCGACAGCTCCGCCGCGTCGCCTTCGCCTTTTGAGAGCGCTAGCATGCCGATCAAATTCAGCTGCCTGGTCCTTCCTCTTCAGCGCCGCGGACCGTCCATCGTGTTCGCTCGCGCCATACGCGTGGCCGTTCGTGGCGCTTCGTCCATCAGCACTCGGATTCGCGGCTGCGTTGCCGGGCACATTCGACGCAGCAGATCCCATATTGCCTTTCCAAAAGAGGTGATGCTTCAGTCGTCTCTCCATCATTTTCCTCCCCGGATTTGGATCGTCTGCGTCTTCCAAACCAGAAGGGCCGTGCCTCAGGGGCTTCATCTTGGCCAAGTACTCTCGAAGCTGACCGCAAGTCTGATCCGAGTCCACCATGACCAGGATAGTGTTCTTTTGCTTTTGTGCTGTACATCGAGACCCGTGTTCAGCACCGTGGTCGCCCTTACTCACTCAAATCAACGGTGCTCGCCTCACTCACTCAAATCAACGGTGCTCCAATGCACTTCCTGTTCAATCTCATCCAGCACCTCTCGCAGCAAGTGCCACTTTGGATTCTCTTCCAGCACGGCTTCCAGGCCAGGAGGCATCCACCAAAGTCGATCTTTCTTTTTGCGCGTGCTTTGCCCTTTGGCAGCGCTACCGCCACGAAGAGCGGCTTCCGCTTCGGCAAACTCCTCGTTGAGACTCGCTTGGTGGGCCGCTGCAAAAGCTTCTGCCTCTTCGTCCACTTCGTCTGCCTCCTCCTCGCCGGCGTCAATGTTCAGCTCCGCAGAAGCAGAGACCTCTCCAACGTACACGCGACGCTTCGCCTCGCCAAGGATGGTATTTGCAGCGTCCATAAAGAGCCAGGGGCTAGGTCCGCCTGACGCATACTCGGACGGCAAGCCGGTGCGCGGTTGGTGTGCCAATATAGTCTCTAGATATTGGTTGAAACGCACTGCGTCGTACGCGAGAAGGAACCTGGCAAGGGGGAGAAAAGGTGAGCTGCCACGCGAATCGACCCCTGCATCCGCCCCCCGACGTACCTCAAAAGGCCTCTCAAAGTGGAGAGATCGCCGACCAGCTGACGAGTCTTTGCTCCTACACGGTGCCAGACGGGATCGAGCTGCCTGCGCACGATAGCGTCGAAAGATCTAAAGAGGGCATTCTCGACGGTGCAATCTTCAATGTCGACCTGCATGAGGAGGGCAAGTGCTTCAATTTGCGCGCCACATTCCGCCTCTACGGATTCGCGCGCGCTCTGCTCACATTCCCAGCTCCTCGTTTCAGCTCGCCCAGAGTTGCGTCGAGACACTCGACGATTGCCGTCTGAATGGCGCGCATGCTTCTAGAGAGCGGTTGGTGCAGCTGTATCACGTCTCCCCTTCCTGAGCCCAGGTCCCGAATGACGGATTTGTGGAATCTGTGTGCGCCCAGCTCTGGGTGAGGAGGGCGGCATTCTGCGCGGCAGTAGAGCGTGACGCATTCGCTCACCTGGGCCACACCCTCACTTCTCGTATCCGCAATTGACCGAGCACGGTCTGCAGAGGACTCAGTCCAATGGCAAAGCGGTCTGCATCGTCCGAAAAAGCCTTTAAAAAGCCGTCCTTGTTCTCTTCGCGGTACATCCGCGCAATGAACGACTCGGTGCAAAGAGGCGTGATCCTGGCCGAGGGGAGAGCGTGCTGATCAGTCGAGCAGGTCCTCGTTGAGCTCTGCGCGCTAGCACTCTCAAGGCCGCACTCACTCCTCGGCGTGCATCACCACGATGCCAGCCACCTTGCTGATGGGAATCTTGTGGTTGAGCATGTCGACAATAAGGATTCTCGAGGTGATGGAGAGCAGTCCGCCAGCGGCATACAGCTCTTGCCTACACCCGCGCATACACCCGCGCAGACAGTGCATCAGAAAGCGCGCTCTCGGCCAATCATGCCCCCTCACATCGCGCGCGCGCGCGCGGCGCTACTCACCTGCTGCTGACGTTGCTGTCGTGCACGATTCTCCTCAAGCCAGGCTTTCTCGCTCCCATCAGGTCCAGCTCCGCGGCGATTCCAGCGCTCTCCTCTTCGCCCGCATTCACCAGCAGGATGAGCGCGTCCTGACTGTCGTAGCACCTTAGCAGTGCGCTGATGATCGTCCTCAGACCCAATCCTCGGGCAAGAATGGTCAGTGCATCCCCTTCATCCAGCGGAGCATCAGGCGGCGGGATCAAGGATTGCAGAATCTGTCGCTGAAAGGGCAAAAGGGTGGACAGGTGGGAGTGCGGGTGTGGATGCAGGATGGACTGCGATTGCGCATCCAGCGTTTCGGGCAACGACGACCCGTCGCGCTCTCTTGTTGCGGCTATCGACGACGTGCGAGAGGAAGAGGCAGGGAGAACAGAGGACGCTCGACTTCCAGCGCGTGAGCCTCGCCTAGTGGAGCCCGAGGCATCGACGAAGCTGGCAGGAAGCGCTCCATCTCGTCGGGACATGGTGCGGATGTGCGCTGTTGGCAGCTTGGGGCCGCGCCGAGAGCGTTACACTGCCAGCTCGACTGCAGGACTCGCCCGCCTGCCTACTCCTCCGTGCGCGAGTGGAGCGCCGTCGGCATTGGACGGCACGGGCAGGGCAGCGACCGCAGCCGCTTCTGGATATGGCTACGGATTGATCAACCTGTGGCCGAACAAAAGTCGCGAGTGGGGGACACCGCGTGGGAGAGAGAGCAAAGGAGTCTTTGCCCGCTGGTGATGACGATGATGGTCGTGTGGGGAAAGCTGCGTGTATGCGCGAATAATCAAATGCCCCGCGACAAACTCGGCGAGCTTTGTGGAGGCCGCACGCGCGCGTGCGCAGTCGTGTCACGTGTAGAGAGACAATCTTGACTTCGAATGCCTCCGGCCCCGAGCCTGTGCGAAAGATTCAAGACGCACACGGTCTTGCGTCTGTGGGCGAGAGCATCGTCGATTTCAACCACACTCAAGTCTGCATCCACTCGACAAATGACGGTCACCACTCGACTGGCGCGCGCAACCAGGACAGCGTGGTATTACGAAGCAGCAAAGTCTACTTCAGGCCGCATTCTCTTTCAAGAGACGAGCGACATACGCAGCCAGCTGGTCCAGCCCGACGACTTGCCCCTTTCCCTGTCCCTCTACGCTATCCTTGCCCTTTTGCTCCTTCACCCTCACTTCTTGCGAAGCCCACTCCTCAGGTGCCAAGATGACCGTGAGCGGCACGCCATCCTTTTCAGCAGCTGCAAATTGCGGTCCGGGTTTGGGCTTCGCCTTGTACAAGAACTCTGCCTGCATGAACACGAGCAGACGACGATTCCGAGTCAGGTGGTGAGCACGTGCCACAGCTCACTTTGCGCCACAGCTCACCTTGATGCCGGCATCCCACAGCAGCTTTGCGACCTTCATGCGCTCCTTCAAAAAGCCATCCCCACCCATGCTCATCACAAAGCAATCCACCGGCTTGGCCCTGAAGCGAGACTTTTCTCCATTCCTTTCCGCTTCCTTGATCCTCTGCATCAGAATCGCAAATACCCTCTCCACGCCTATGGAGACGCCGACGCAAGGTACCGAGTCGAGCTTCTTGCTGCCGCTGAACATGCCAACGAGATTGTCGTACCGTCCACCAGCAGCGATGGAGCCCACGCCTACCGTGGACTCGTCGATCTCTTCCTCCTCTCCCTGTGCCGTCTTCTTTTTCGATTTTGCTTTCGACTGTTCTGCTTGCGCGCCCGATACCTCCGCACCACTTGCAGCTGCGAAAGAGGGCGGCGCAGAAGCGGCAGTGATCGCCTCGTAGATGATGCCGGTGTAGTAGTCTAATCCGCGGGCAAGGCTCAGATCGAAGCTCATCTTTTCAGAAATTCCATAAATGTCCAGATAATCGTAGAGCGTCGCCATATCCTTGAGGCCTTCCACCGCCCTCGCGCTGGAAGTCAGTCTCGCATCGCCGAACAGCTTTGTGATGAGATCTCTGCCGCCTGAACAAGACGAGACATTACTCAGGCGTAAGGTGCGCACTCACGTTCGCACGAAGGCCACGTCCACACTCACCCTTTAGCTTGACGTACTCTCCGATCCGATCAGCAGTCTCCCCATCGAGTCCCTTCTCCACCGTCATTTCCCTCCTGACCTCTTCCCAGGGGCTCTTGTCCAGCTTATCCACTGCGCTAGAAATCTGTCTCGTCTTGTCCGCCGGTACTCCGCACACGTCAAAGATTCCGTCCAAGATTTTGCGATGGTTGATCTTGACTGTGAAGGAGCCCAAGTCGAGTGCAGTGAGTGCTTCCACGAGGATCAAAAGAATCTCCGCATCGGGCACCATGGCATCGTACGATCCCGAAATGTCAAAGTCCTGGAGAGTGTGGAGGGAGGTGACGCAGGTCGTCGCAAAGGTGAGCTTGGTGTGGGCGCTTCAAGTGCGTCGCTATTGAGCAGCGCATTCGAGGGGCCAAGTTCGTCGGCACTCACACACTGGTAGAATTCGCGGAAGCGTCCCTTGGACAGGGCGGGCTGATCCCTTCGATACACCTTTGCAATGTGATACCTCTTCATGGAGCCATACTCGATCGGGTTCATCGCGACGAAGCGAGCAAAAGGGACCTGTGCGCGCGCGCGCGCGTGAGTGGGGTGATGGGTTGCTGAGAGGTGATGCACATACACGCCCCCCCAAAGTTCCGCCAGCCTGTTGCACTCACAGTCAAGTCGTACCTCAGGCTGCACAGCTCGCCGCCTTGGTCCATCAGATCGTATATCAGCTTGCTGTCCTCTCCATACTTTCCAGCCAGAATCTCTCTCCTCTCAAACACCGGCGTGTCGATGGTGACCGCGCCATGGTTTTGAAAGACGCGCGTGATGCTCTCGAAGACTTGCGACCGAACAGCCATGGCCAGAGGTTCCCAATCCCGCGTACCTTTGGGCGTCTTGAGCACCATCTTGGATCCCGTTGCTGCTGTGGCAGACTTGCTCGCGCTGCCAGCGGAGACGCTCAGAGCCTTTAGCTGCTCCTTCAGAGCCAGCAACGCGTCCACCTCTGCCTTGACAAGCCCAGCATCGGCAGACTGCTCTTTCAGTGACCGAACCTTGGAACCTTGCGCATCGATCGCTGCGATCAGCGCCGTCCTGTCGGCTGTCGTCGCGGCAGAAGCGGATGCGGACATCTTTGCGAGACTGGGGAGATCAGTGGGGTTTGACCAGATGGCAGAGGGCGTAGCGGTCGTAGCTCGATAGAATGAGCGCGGTGTGAACGCAGAGGCGAGGCGAAGGACCATCCAATCGATCACCGCTGGGGCGCTTCGAGGCGGGGCTGTATGCGTGCAAAATGTGCTGCAGTGGTGAGGTGGGCTCTTGTGTCTATACCGAAACAGACGTTTGCGAATGAGTGAATGCAATCACAATCACGAATCACGCACCGTGAAATGTGGGCTTTGCACTCGCCGCTACGACAGCCGAGAGCGAGGCGTAGAAGAAAGGCGCTCAAGCGAGCGAGTCATCGCCGTTGCATGTGCGTGTGCATGCCGCGCGCGCCCTATTGATCCACGTGATCGAGTTTTTTGGGGCCTGGCCTTGTGATCGCTCCCTCGCTCGATCGCGTCTGCGCGTCTGTCGTGCGATGCAGCGAGGCGCCCTGCGCTGCATGCACGCACGCACGCACGCGTGCAAATTGTGCTCCGCGGAGGCCACGATGCGCGTCATCGACTCTCGACTCTCGACTCTCGACTCTCGACTCTCGCGACTGCAACAGTCACGTCACGAGTAACCTCTTCCTGGTGTGCGGGATGAGTGCATTCATTCGCTTTCAAATGACGCCGCGTTCGAGCAGCAAGATGCGCCCTTCGACGACGAGATCAAGGAGCGTAATGGTGTTCAAGCCACGCCAAGCCCATCAAGCGCACGAATCTCGCAGAAAATGGAGATCGAGTTTGGGGGGGAATGACATCGCGCTCGAAGCAAGAGGTGGGGGCTGACGTTTGGATATGATACATTCAAAGGCAAAAGGTGACCAAGGGTGACGAGAAAGATTCTACAAGGGAAGCGCATGAAAGGTCGGCCTTTTTTCCCAACAAGCGGTGGCAGGCATCGGCCACGCCGATCAAGATCCTATTTTACGCCGTTTGCGAAGCCAAACCAAGAAGAACGGTCGTCGGGCTGCCGAGTCTCCACCCTTTGCCCATTCTCGACTCTTTCCACAGCCTCTTCTTCTCTTCATCCTCGAATCGAACTTGCTTGAGCACACTCGACCTAGACGTGCTCGAGGTGCGCTTGAGCGAACTCGTCGGCGACGCATCGAAGGGCATGCAAGCCGCGTCGGTCGGAGACGGTGATGAACCGGTTGCGCGCGCGTTCACCGCGGTTGGCGGTGCTGCTGCTGCTGCTGTTGCTGCTGCGTCGTTACGAGGTCTTTGGTTGGAGCATGCGTCGCTCTGCGCGCAGTCCTGCGCCTCGGATGTGTGTGCGGTGCCGTTCACCGTCGATCGGACCATCGCGGCCGACTGCAAGTCTGCAGGCTCCGTCCTCGAAAGTTTGCGCTCGCGTCGTCTCTTGACCTTTGCAGACCATCCGGCAGCCAAAGAAGCTTCGACGAGCAGCAGCTTGGAGGCTTCTCCTTCTCCAGTCGCGCACCTCATCCTCTCGTCCGCCATTTGGCAGAAGTATGTGGGAGGTGGCGAGTTTATGGACACGTAAGAAGGCGGTGGCGTCCTGCTCGGCGTCTGAGATTCCACCGTCGAGAGGCCCTTTAGACTAAGGTGAGATGGTCTGGATTGCAGAGCTGATGCCTTGTTTGTCGCGGAGGCGTGCGCTTGTGCGGCCGTGCACCCCCTCGATGCCGGCAGCAGGGATGCGAGCTCGGTGCCCAATTCGAGTTCGAGCGCGTTGCTGAGCGATAGACTGTCGAAGCAGCTCAGCTCTTCTTCTTCGTCGTCCGTCGAGGATCGATTGGACAGTCGATGATGAGCATGGCTCTTGGCTCGCACGCCAAAGGAACGATCCGTAATGGCGATGGTGAGCATGCTGTTGCCAGTCCGTGGAAGCTGGTGAAGATCTCTCCGCTCGGGTGGGGGATTGTCGAGGTGTGACGTATAGGCGAGTCGATCTCTCACGCAAGAGGAGGATGTGTGTGTGTGGTTTGTTTGTAGCAGCATACGTGGGGCAGAGCAACACAATCCAAAGGGTGCCAGGCGGGCATTCACCTCTTATACCTGTTGCCTCTCCACTGGCACTATCACCAATCACGCATGATCCAAGCCGCCGCCATCACAATCAAGAATTGTGAGCGTGTTTGCTACCAACAACGCGAAACCTTCTCTTCCCGAAAGGACGAGTCCCTGAAGCCTGGAAGCCGCCCGCCCGCCCGCCCGCACGCACGCGCTTTCCCATTTACCCGCTGCGCACGCACGACACGACTTGCTCGCCGACCATGGCTGATCTGTTTGTGGGCAAGCCATCGTGGGCATGGTGCCATGGCCGGACGGGCATGCAGCGGGTCCCGTCAACTCCGCTCTGCCGCGTTGGTTGTGAGCACACGCGGCCAGCAGGGAGCGAGCTGAGTTCGCCTGCCTCCTGCTGCATGTGCAGCAGCAGCGGGCGCATCGCGCACGCGTGCGCGAGCGAGCCAAGAAGATTCACGATTCGTGGGTGTTCGGTCGGGATGGGATGGGATGCACCTTTGTGCCCGGGATCGTCGGGCTGTGCATCAAATAGCAACACGGACGACGATAGTGTAGACAGAACCCAAGAGCGATGAATGCAGTCACAAGTTCAGCCTCTTGACTTGGCTTGAGGCTGCGCTTGCCATCCATCGCCATTCGTGACTCAGCTTGGCCACTCACGACTGTCGGTGCCGGTACGAGCGCAGTCAGACCGGTGAGTCGATCGATCGATGCCAATCAAGCAGCGCCATCAGCGCCAGCGCCCGCCCATCATCAGTCTCACGCAAAACAAACAGCAGCAGCAGCAGCAGCAGCAGCAGCAGCAGACGCGGTACCGCGATTGTCTGCGGGGCTTGGCCGCGTGAGTCATTTATGTATACGTAAATAGGTACGGTGCCGGGCACCCATGCATGCATTCCACGCGCTTGCCTTTGCATGGGTCAGCTTTTCCTGCTGTCGATCGAGCTGGTCGTGATTGCGTGCCGTGCCGACCGCGGCGTGTCTGCGCTCTGCGTGATGTTGTGTGGCGCCTAGCTGACTCTCACGCTCTTTCACCGCAGCAGAGGCGCTACTCTTAGAGTTTGGCAAGCGACAATTAAGCAATCACGAATCCAGGTCGCGCTGCAATTAAGTGATGTGTATAGGGAGGGTCCTGTGCCTGCATGCATGCATGCAGACGGCGTTGATAGGGTGATTGCGCGGCAGAGTCGCGGCGAGTATAGTCACGAGTCTGAGTGTGAGTGTGTCTCGGTACCGATGCACACTTTGACTCTGACTCGCGACTTGCGAAGACATGCGCGACACGTCGAACAGAATCCTCTACTCACCACCGTCCCTCACGTACACGCGCTACCCGCGCTCGCTGCTTCGCATCGGAAAGGCAAGTTCGGTCGGGATCGACTTACGTGCCATGCATGCAGCTTTCGTTTCAAAGAGTCGGTCTGTCTAGCTGATCTAGGAACGCGCAGCAGATTCGATCGACCTGCCCTCGAACCTAGGAACGCGCGCAGATTCGATCAACCTGCTGCCCTCGAACCCATCCATCCTCCCGCGCGCGGCCCACTCAGACTGCATGCTTTCTTGGCTTCCGCGGGATCAAGCCACACCGCGCTTCGCGTGCTTCGGGGAGCATATACATGGTACCGGCGTGCCTGCCTGCCACGCACATCAGCCACTCGATCGCATTCAAATCGCAACCATGCACGCAGCAGCGCACGCAGACGCAGACGCAAACGCACCGCGAAGTGAAGTGCTGTGCTGTGCTGTGCTGTGCTATGAGCTTGGTGGAGTGTGATGCGCGCGCGCGGAACCGATGCTGCTGCGTGGCGGCTGATCGGCCCGACGCGCTCAAAGGGTGACCGACGAAGGGCGGCCGTACGTGCCATGCAAACAAGCATCCGGCCACGATTTCGCATTTCGCGTTTCACGATGCACAGGACAAGCACGACCGAAAAGCGGCTTTCGTGGAAATCCTGATGCGCGCGATGGCGCGTGGACAAATTCACGAGGCAGTCACGAGTCGCATTCACGATTGAGAGAAACATCCGGCACGGCCCCTCTACGTAGCTAGCTAGCTCCTCATGACCGCTTTTCTCTCACACGCTTCTAGCAGCGCGACAGACGGTCCAAACGCGTGCGCCGCCAGTCGGTCCATGGTGATCGAGCCTCGATACAGGTAGGGCGTCTGCCGGTCAAACAAACAGGACCCCTGCTCGCTCTCGACCCTGCGTCATCGATCGGATGACGTGGCGTGCTTTTTCTGACGCCATAGTCCTGTCCAAGCAAACGTCCAGAATGTCATTCCCCCCGCAGACGTCGTTTGAGCTTGGCTCGCACCGCCCCCCCCCCCCAAAGACGTGGACCCGGGTCCTGTCAGGTCGTTGCTTTCAGAAGCGCGTCCGACGACCCATCTTGCATCGTGAATGGGCGGGTGGTACGTTCCGCCTTTTTCGCGCTCGACTACGACTACGACTCGCGCTCGACTACGACGATCAGTGCTCGCTCGCTCGTCGGGCGAAAAGAGCGCGCAGCCGCATAGAAATTTAAAAAAAAGTCCCTTCGAGAATGTGAAAGTGGAGAGATCAGGCTCTGCGCCTCAACATCGCCCATTATAGAATGTGGAAAAGGTGAATCAGCATGAGGTGTGCAATAGTCTACCTGCCTTGCGGTTCTGCCGCCCGCGGCCACTTGAAAGATCTGTACCCCTAAACTTCGAGACGCACGTTCGATGCCATGACATCGCAAGAGGATGCACACAGCAAGTCGACATCCCCTCACTCACCGATTCGAGGTAGCAGAGACGATTGGGAAAGAGAGAAAAAGGGGGGGCGGGGGGGGGGGGGGAAAGAGCTGCTGCTGCTCGATCCTCGCGATGCAAAACCGCTCTCGAAAGCTTGGGCCAACGCTTGAGCATCACCAGACCGCTCGCGAGCACACGTCTTTGAGATCGTGAGATGAATGTATTGCGAGCAGGAATCAGATTCGTTCTATAATCGGCCGCAAGGCGCGCGCGTCCGACGCCTCAAGGTGGGTGCGCCAAACTCTACTTCTTGCCCTTGTCGTCGCCCTCGGGTTCCTTGGGAGGGGTGAGCTTGAAAGCGTTTGGAGTGTAATCCTGACCCTCTCCGATCTGCTCCCACGGACTCGTTCCCGAAAAGTCTCTAAACGCCTGCGTCAATTGCAGCGGTTCCGTCACGATCCTCTTTCTCTCCTCGTCCCATCTGACTTCAGAGTAGCCAGACAATGGGAAATCCTTTCTGAGCGGGTGGCCCTCGAAACCGTAATCCGTCAAGATCCTTCTCAGATCGGGGTGGCCCACGAAAAAGACGCCGTACATATCGTAAACTTCCCGCTCGTACCAATCGGCGCTGTGGAAGAGAGCAGTGGCAGATGGGACCGGAGTGACTTCGTCCGCGTATGTCTTGACCCGGATGCGAGCATTGTGTCGCACAGACAAGAGGTGATAGATCACCTCGAAGCGCTGACTGCGGGTAGGATAGTCCGCTCCCGAGACATCCATGAGCGCCTTGAACTGCGTTTGCGTGTGATCACGAAGGAACTGCAGCGTGGGAATGACAGAGGCTGGCGCTACATACAGCGTCAACTCGTCCTTTACCACCGAGAATTGTTGAATGTACTTGGGAAGACCTGCGCAGCAGCGTACATGCGCCATGAGAGGTTCAGCCCAGGCGTAACAGAGAGGCGAGCTGCGCGAGGTCAAGGGTTGCACTCACAAGATACGAGATAGGTGCCGTAATCGTGGAGTGCAGGAGTGATAGTCTTGAACTTGTCCATCGGGTTGGATCCTGCCGACTCGGCAAAGGGCGAGTCAGGGTTGACTGACGTGTCGATGAGAGGGGGATGGCGACGTCAGCGGGAGGGAATCGGCGCGACTTCCAAACGCTGCATCTTGAGGCGTGAGGGCTCGCAACATGTGGCTATCGCATGCAGGCTGGCGACCTGCGAAGCGTCGCGTGTGCCTGCCCGACCCAGCTCTTGAGCCTCGCCGTCCTTGCCCTCCTACGCGGCCAGCAGACAGTCTCGGAAACATCGTCCACCACGCTGCTAGACAGCATAGACCGTGCTACAAAGGTCCAAGATGTGCATGCACCCCGAGCTCTTCCATCGCGACCTCCTTCTGACGATATACAGTAGCGGCACAGCTGGCGTCGCGAGCTGACGTTGCGAGCTTGTGGCGTCCTTCCCTGGTACATTGTTGATTCCTTCTACCGATTCAAGCAGCTGTATGCCCTGACTTGCCCCCTCCACGCCAAGTAGCCGCATCCCCACTCACCCTTATCTCCCGCAACACCCTGCAGCGCAGCTCTGGGCTTGGCGCTGGACAATGCTCTGACCTGGACGGGTGCGACCGCTTTGGACAAGCTCTGCGCTGCTCCCTTGGTCGCTTGACCGCTGACCGCACGGAGCGCTTGACTTGCGCTTCTGGAGATGGACAGCGACATGATGAGCCACGAGGCGGAGATTGTGAGTGGGATGTCTGGCTGCGGGCGCGGGCGCGGGCGCGAGGGTGCCTTCGTGGCACTGCCTGATCGAGAGCAAGTGAGAGAGAGAGACGTGCAGGGATAGAGTGTGTGGACAGTGCTACAGGCAAGGAGAAGCGTCGATGGCGATGCGTGCGGTGAGGGAAGAGTCAAGGCTTAGCGGACGAGCGACAGCGTTGGGGTTGGTCGGCTCTCCGAATCACAGCAATCAGAGTTGTGATTCGTGCGTCGCGACCGACGTTCCTAATCGCCCGTGCGTGCGACGCTGTAGCGTGGCGGGCGTTTGGTGCGCATGGCCGTCGATCCCACGTGGACATCCCGCGCGTTACTCGGCGCGCGTGGATTGGTAATCAGTCACGAGTCGTGAGTAATTTGAGTTTTGAGTTTTTGAGTCAAGAGTCTTGAGTGAATCAAAATCTTGAATCGCGCGCCACAAAACACACGTGACTCGTTGGACGGCACTACGAAAAGACGAGGCCGCGGCGCTCATGCTTGTAATGCTGTAAAGCTGTCCAACACACGCAACGATAAACACCCAACACCCGACCACCTCATTCGTGATCTACTCAACACAGAGAGAATCTCAGTCACGAGTCACGAGTATCGAGGTGTCTGAAGAACAAGAGTTTGACATCCTGCAGCCGGCGAAGAGGCGATTTGGAAAAGCCATTGTCCTTGGCGGAGAGGCGACGGCTGAGTGAGAAATGTCTAGCTCAGATCATGGTAAGGAGGAGGAGGAGCGGAGGGCATCAGGTAAACCCAACGCCCAAACTTTGAAAGTTGCTGGCGAAAAGAAGGCCAATGACTTGGATGCGGTACCGCGCGATGCCACCATCGCAGACCCGCCAGAGCAGGAGGAGGCGGCGGCGTCGCGCGACATGGCTGCACCTCGAGCGCCCAAATCAGACGGCAAGGAGGGAGAGAGGTGGGAGAGAGGCAGGGGACGGGGCCGGGGTAGAGGGAGAGGCGCTAGTCGGGGTTCGGACACTGCGAAAGGACGGGGCCGAGGGGGAGGAGCAGGAGGAGCTGCACCAGGGAATACGAAGCCGAGCAGCGATGCAGCATCATTCGTCGTCGACTCGAGCGATGCGGTTCACGTGAATGCGAATGGAGTTGCAGATCCGCAGTCAGGATCAGCAGCACAGTCCAGCATGCCCACCTCGCCCCCCTCTGCGCCCAAATCTCCCAAGGCGTCCCCAGCATACACCAATCCCACGCGGCATACTACAGGAGGTCCTGCTCGCTCCAAGCCGAGCGAATCGGAGCTAGAAGCTAGGTTGGCCAAGGCTAGAGCGGCTAATGAGAACATCATGGCTAGGCGAGCACAAGTGGAGGAAGACTTGCAGAGATATGGAGAGAGGACCAAGGAAGAAGAGGCGAAGAGGAGGGAAGCAATGCAAAAAGAGGCGGAAGTGAAAAGGGAGAAAAAGGAGAGGATGAGAAGGGAAAAGGAGAGAGATGTGAGTTGGCTCTGTGGTAGCGGTGTCACGTGTCGCCTGTGAGAATTGCCTCGTGCAATGTCAAGACGAGATGCTGATCAAAGTTCCTTTGTGTCATCGTCTCGCAGGCCGCTATAGCGCAAGAGAGGGCAGCGAATGCGGCGCGAAAGTTGCAGCACTCTTCGACCAGGGCTTGGGACGCGGAAAAGGAAGAGCAAGTGCACAAACCTTGGGAGAGGAATGCGCGACCGGACGCTGTACGAGGTGGCGCTCGAGCAACAGGTGCGAGACCAGAAAGAGGCGCCTAGACGGTCGCCGACCGCACGTCTTACGACGTTGAGCCGAGTCATTCGCAAGATGGCTAGATGGCGCTACAACGCAGCGCCGTGCCGCCGCATTGCGTGTGACCATGTTGCTTGTCAGCTACATCTACTCCGCCCAGCTGGTGGCGAGCGAGACAATGGAGTGATCAGCTGACTATCTATACCCCTCAATGATACTTCTACTACACCCGATTATCAGAGCGCTCTGCACTCAATGGCGGTCCATCACAAGAATCGCATGAGCACGCGTGCAGCCTCCTTCTTCCTCCACACTCAGTCGCCAAGCGAAGCGACCGCGATGGTGGGTCACAGACAAGCAGTGTCCCACTGACGCTGAGCTGTGACCGCCAATCATACGTGCTCCTTGCCCACTTCGCTTGGCTGATGAGGCATTCGTCGCTGCATTCATTGTCGCTCTTGAATGGCCGGCGTTTGGGCTCGGCAATGGTAAGCTACAACGTGACCAAGTTCGGCGAGCGCGTGTATGCGCTCTTTTGGCCGCATGAGAGGTGATCTCGACGCACAACTAGCCTTGGCCGTCTGCCATGCACATTAGGCCCGATCTCCTCAGATCGAATTTTGTTGCGTGGTGGCCTTTGAATTCAACATTCGTGGCTGCAATCCACGATTGACGAGCTTCATCGACATTCTGATTTGTGGCAAGCTACACGAGACATCGCTGGAAGTGAGCATAGGATTGCTTGTGTCAGGCGTCCCAACCATCTCGCTCATGCATGTCTATGCGCGTCGCGCGCTTCGTCACGTGCTCACGTTTGTCCCCATGTTTCACGCAGCCGAGACTCAAGACTCATCAGACTCCTGACTCGACCGAGACCATGACCTGCATCAGGCAGGACTCACGACTTAATTGCTTGTGTGCGTGCACGGCAAGACGACCGGAAACTCGTGACTCCTCCATCATCTCCCGCCCGCGATCCCAAAGACGATGCAGTCGAGGGCCCCGCTGCGCAACCACTCAGCTTTCCACCAGCAGGGCCGCCGATACACATCCACCAACTTCGGGCCAAGACAATGACCGCGCCAATCGAGTTCATCGCAGATGCCGGGGCGTGCTTGGCCTCGACCAACGTCGTCGGCGGCGCCGGTCGGGTCAAGTGGATGGTGCGCGAAGAGTCTCAAGCTGCCGCCGACAATGGCTGGCGGATCTTCAGCGACATCGACACGGAGGAGTACCTGGCCGACTCGGAGAATATGCAGGTGGTCGACTTTAATCTGGTCTGCGAGCGCGAGCCCGCGCTGATCGGCATCTGGGACCTGCCAGTCGGCTCGGACCTGCAGATCGTCGATGAGGGTGATGGTATCAGCATCGTGCACACCGACACTGGCATCGCGATACCGCGCGAGCAAATGTTCGTGCCGGAGCAGTGGCGGCGCAAATGAGCCCCCCGTCTCGTCTCTTCTCTTCTCGTCTCGTCTCCTCTCGTCCCTCCCCTTTGCCTGCGACCCGTGCTCCCGATCAGGTCAAGTCAGGTCAGGTCAGGTCGCCCAGGAGGCGGTGGTGGATCAGCTCTCCTACGGTCTGCTCAGCAGGTCGTCAGCAGCATTGGAAGTACTACTCCCTTCTTAATCACATCACATCATTTCCTGGCGTCCAGTGGACAGCGCTCATCGTGTCAGCCAAAAGGAGCGGCAAGGAAAGACGTCTGCTGCGACACAGATGCTGGTCTCTATGCATAGCAGAGCACTGCATCCAGCGCGGTTTCGGCACGCGCAAGTTGCGCTTCGACAGTCGACATGAACATCTCCATCAGAGGTGATGGGTCCTATCGACTCTTTTTCTTTGTTGTAGTCGTGCAGCCTTCGATGGTGTTACCGCAGATGCGACTATTCCTGACCCAAGTTCGGCGCGCACGCCTTCGCCCACACTTTGCCTTGAAACGATTTCGTGCAATGCATCTCCGACGGCGCCTTGTCCGCCCTTTTGCTGCATTTTCCCCCTCGCTGCCCAGAAAAGAGAAAGGGCGATCGCTTGTCCACTTTGTGGTGTCCGAAAGCAGAGCAATCCGGCCTCGTATTTGACCACAGCATGCGGGATAGTGCCAAAGGACTAGACTGTGAGGCATGGGAGCGTGCGGGATAGTGCCAAAGGACTAGACTGTGAGGCATGGGAAGCGGAATTGGAGCAGAATCGTGTAGACAACGTGCTCAGAGAGTTAATCATTCCAAGCCGATCTGGCCACACAGACCTCTCCTCTGCACCAGAGATGGCTGGCTGATGCAGAGAAGATCTTTGTGTACCGCAAGCAAGCCCAGACAGTGGGTCGATTTCCACCGCTGCTCTTGATTCGCGGGCTGAAAGCACAAGAGGTGAATGAATTTCAGAAGGCGGCGTCATTTGTCAGAATCTGTGTACACTGGTAGCTGGCAACCTTTTGAAGAACTGCACATCAAGGTTGCTCATGGGTCGGATGCAGCACAACGGCTGACAAGGCTCTGTACTTGTTCTCATATCGATACTCCATTGAAGCTCGTGCAATTGAAAAGTACAGGTATGAAAAGAGGGGCCGAAAGAGAGTCGGAAATGCCCTTCAGGGTAAGGAGGGAAAGCGGGCGAAGAGAGAGAGAGAGAGAGTCAGACTACAGATGAATGAAGTGTATCAGGCGAGAGTCGAACATTACAAAAGTTCAACATAGGAAGCTGGATGAGCAACATGGCAGGGTGTTGGAAGACCACAAGCTCTAGCTCGAAGAGAGGACGAAGCTTACAGTCCTCGCAATCGTAATGCTCAACTTCTCTCTGGACATAGAGTCACATGCGAGAAGTGGGCTAGAAGAGGAATGTTGTGCGGTCAAGCCAAACGATCAGCTTCACGGGTCCACCTGTTGCGGCTAGCTTGAATCTCCGCAAGAGGCGCGCTGGGGCTCGGACGGGTGTCCATCGCGACGGGAAGATCCGAAAGTGGCGCGTCTCTAGACCGAAACGAGTGATGGTCGTCAGGATCGCTCCGAAAGACCTCGGTATTGATGTTGAGTCGGACGCCTCCTGCTTCAGCAGCCTCTCCCTGTCTGAGTCGGTTGGACGAAAGAGGCGATGGTGCAGAAATCTGTTCGAGTGCGAATCCCTCCTCGCCTTCTTGCTCCATGTCGTTACCCATCTTCGATGCACCATTTGCCTGCTGATGCGGGCTATGCACTTGCCATGCGCCATGCGGATGAGATCCAGATCGATTGCGCTTTTCAGTGTGGATTTGCTCCAAAGGCGGGGCATTTCGGAAATTGTTTGTAGCGGCTTCGGGATGCTGGACAAAAGAACGATCGAAAGAGGGACTTCCGAATTGTTTGCCCTTGCTCTCGCTACGACTGCTGAAAAGGCCGATAGAACGTGAGTTTGTTCCATTGCCGCTGCTGCCCAAGTGCTGATTGTTGCTCGTCCGGCCGAATTGCGAATCTTGACGAAGGTCAAGGAAGACGCGGCAATATGCAATGGGTGCGACAACAGCTGTCCAGACCCCTCCGAACAATGTCACCTTGTCTGGAAGTGTTAGCGTCCAGATACCGACGATCCAGTAAGACGCGGTGACGACAGAGTACCAGAGAACGGTAGGCTGAAGGAGCTTTTTGCGCATCGCTCCCGCCGGCTTACGACGCAGACCGATGATGGTGAAGACCAGAACCATTGTGTCGAAAACGGCGGGTACCCAGTATGTCACTACTTGGTGCGGGTCCAAGGATAAGAGGCAGCTGTGCAATCCAATCGGATTGGGCGTGGCGATGAGCTGCGTGTAGCCAACCCCTACCATGCAGCCTACGGTGGCCATCAGACTGATGACAAGCATCAGTAGCACGACTTTGTTCCAGTCTTTTGGTTTTGAAGCAAGCACATGGGCGGCAAGAGCATTGCGTCAGCCGTGTCGTCCTTCGTCCTGTTTGGCATTGCCGCCAAGACATTGTGCCAATTAGCGCAACTCACCCCAAATGGCCATGGTGCGCAGAATGAAAATACTGCCACCGGCAGCGTGAGTGACAGCCTGCGGAATGTAGAGTGCCAACACACCCGATTGACAGTGGGGACTTGCACGAAGCGAGTACGTGATGCAGGCGCAGAGGACGATGGAGCAAGCCCTGCAGTGCGATGTGCAAGAGATGTTCACGGCGTGCAGACAAGGCGGCAGAATGGTAGGATGCGTCAAAGCATTTGGTCAGCACCGATGCGATGCAAAAAGAGAATTGTGGCTGTGCCATTGGAGAATAGCAGGCAGGCGATGGGCAAAGGAAGAAGAGAACACTCACCGACAAACAAAGTAAAGGGCGTTGCTCCACCTCCAGTTCGCGCGGAGAAGTCTGATCTCATTTGCCCAGTTGGCGACCCACTCGACGGAGACGACACCAATGGCAAAACCCGCATAGACCGCAAAGGTGATGATAGCATCGATGATCTCGTACTGCACCGGATTGACGGGAACGAGCAGCGCAAGCGCTTCTGGTGGTAGACTGGCCATCGTGACTTAATATTGTGCCGTGTGTCAGGTGTGCGCAGCTAAAGTTGGCTTATTGCGTTCCGCAATTCGGCACGCGACTGTACCGCGAGAACCGAGAAGGAAGAGAGTCACGAAGGGGAACCGGGGGGTGCATGGGCTTCACGATTGGGATTATAAGAGGAACCGAGAGCAGTGCATCGCTCACACGCCAGGACAAGGAAAGGGTGGGAAAGGCCGAGGGGGCGAGGGGCGAGGGGCGAGAAGGCAAAGTTGTTTGGGCCGCGAGGTGGGCGATTGTTGCCGCCGTGAGAAGAGAACATCCGCTCGTCGCTCCCATGCTTCTTAGCCCAGCTGCAGCAGCATCGAAGCGGTGGAGGTGAGGGACTCACGACTGGGAATGGGTGGTGCGTGTTCCTGATGCAGACGCACATAGCCTTCGCAAAGACGCGCACCAATCGTGGATTTACGGTGCAGAACGCACGGGCGACCCGCGACCCTGATGATGATAATGCACCAAGGCGTCAATTTATGCTGCATCCACATGGTCTTGCTGTGCAGCAGCAATTAAGCACTACAAGGACTGCGACTGCCGAGGTGGGACGTCAAGTCACCATATCTGGAAAGCGCTTTGCTTGGCTTTGAAGGGACGAGTGCGGGGCGGGGCGGGGGCGGGGGCGGGGGCGGGGGCGGGGCGGCAACCGTGCTCTGAGCTGGCTTCCGCATGGTCGACCACGGTGGCTGCCAACACCGCTGACAAGCCTTTCAAGGGGGTCGATGTGTGCGTATCGCTCTTCTTGGTGACGCCATTCTGATTGCTGCTGCTTGCTTAATTGCCAGCGAACGTGGGCAGTACGAGCTGTCCATGCGGCGTTTTAATTCTGATTGCTTTTTGCAAGTCACGAGTGTGTGCAACAAAGCCGGACGGATAGCCATGCAGCCGTTTGTGCAAACATTCAAATTCACATTCTCGCTTAGCTGTTGAGCCAGTCTGATTGCATCCGATACTGATCGCCCGCCCGCCCGCCCGCACAACAGAAGAGGCGAGTTGTGTGGACGCTGCGTAGAGGCCCCGGCCCGAGCTGCGCGGTCGCGCCGCGCTAGCCAGCGTGGACCATGTGGTCGCGCGATGCTGACGCATTCATGCGTCCTTTGATTCAAATCATGAAACTCACGACTGCCAATCGGTCTTCGCCCCGAGCGAGCGATCGATCGGCAATTAGAACCCAGCATGCCGGCGCGCTATACAGAGATCCTTCTCAGCAGGATGTACAGTACAGTAGCAGCCGGTTGCCGTCGTGTCTTCTCTTTGCGCGCGGCACTGGCCTTCACCTGCATTGACGCTTGGTCTTCTCACACGCGTCGGCGCAATGCTGCCGAGCTGTTGCATGGATGTCAGCTTTGCAGTCGGTCTTTCGACGGCGACGCCTTCCTGCAGACTGACTCACTGCATGGACCTGCTGGAGTACAGACGACGGACCGTCTTCGCCGTTCAGAATGTGCTGCGTTCGAGTGCCGTTGTTCGCAGCAGTTTTGCTTTGGGCCTGTCCCTTCTCGCGACGTGCCGCCAAGTCGTCATAAAATCACGAATGCTCGATTCGTGAGTAGTAGTAGTAGTAGTAGCAGCGACCTGAACAATGCTCTTTCGACAGCCAAGTCGATCCGCGTTCATTATAGCGCAGCAGCAGAGTCCGCTGATCGATCGATCGATCGATCGATGCTGCCCGCAGTGACTCAACCCGGGCTGTCTCAGATCAATGCCTCCAAAACATAGGAGCAATTAACGCATTGCATGGCTGGCATCGAGCGCTCCGCCGAGTTGCTCGCCCGAAAATTGCACATGCGGTTCGAGCGTTTGCGCCGAGAAACCCGCCGAGCCGCCTGTTGCAGCTGCAGCTCCCACCCATGACAGCACCGAGCCACCTGCTCTGCAGCTGCAGCCTCCAGCCGCCGAGCCACCACCTCTGCATGGTGCAGCTGTAGTCTGAGTCTCACACCGAGCAGTCAAGGTGAAAAGACGCTTTATGCAAAAAGCGAATTAAAAACGAAAACAAAAACATGCAGGGCAAGACCCACAATTGTAACAGCTGCATGGAGGGAGATAAGTCACCCCGATGCACTCACACACCACTGCATGCAGCCGAGTCGCGTTTGAATGGATTAATTTGGACCTTAATTAAGAGGTCAAAAGTCGTGAGTGGAGCTTTTTTGGGGACCACAAGGTACGCGTTTATAGACTCATGCATGCATGCAAAAGTTGGTCCTTTGCATACGCTAGCGCGCCCCATTCTGACAGAGTCTAGGCGCATTAAAAGCGAAGAGTTGCACGAGTCTTGCATGATTAAGGGTGTGATGAAGGTAGGTGCGCTTACTTGGCAAAAGTCACAACTAATCGATACCTCATCATAAGGTCCCTTTTGGCATTACAAGCTCCGGATTATTCTATTCAACGCGACTCTTGTCATTTCGCGATTTTGATTGCGACAGAAAGCGTCATCTCAACGTCAAGTCTCGACAGCGGAGGTGCTCGATCAGGGTCTGTTGTGATCGCTTACACTTGTGTGGATTTGTCCCGACACGCACGCCCAGCTGCACAATCAGCGTGCCTTTCATGTCCTTCTCAAATGAGTAGCTCAGCTCCGAGCGCTGGTGAGCGCTCGAGCGGTCATACATACAAAGCGTGTCGGCTACGTATGGAACGACACTTTGTCGTCCAGACCTTCTTATAATCCACAAGCGCTGCTCTACGAGCCCAGGTCCCTCGATTGACCTGTACACTGACAGCGCTGATATTTTCGACGTAGCTGCATGATGGAAGTCAAAATCGCTTCAGATGAGAGCGCAAGCGCAGGCGCAACCGCCACGTCAAGCAGGTCGCGAATCTCTCCAGCCCCGAAAAACCTGACCCAATTCTTTCAAACGGCGGCGCAACTGGCGCCAGATACCCCATTCTGCAGATGGCCAACTAGCAGAGCGTTGGATCCTTCGGAGGCCACTTTCGTGGACATTACATACGAACAAATCGCGCGGCTCGCTCAGCATGTTGGCACTTACATCTCCAAGAAATACAACCCGCGTGTCGTTGCCATCATCGCTCCGAACTCACCAGCGGTCGTCGTGGTGAGTTGCAGAGTGAAAAGAAAACAATGCTTCACGACCCTTCTTCTGTGCGCCTGTTTTCACAGAGCGTACCCACCTCGCCCTGACGAACATCCCACGCAAATTTTTGTCTCCTGACCGTGGCTGATGCCTCTCCTGCACGATGTTCAACACCAGAGCTTTGCTAGCGTGACGTTTGCGGGTGCGATATTTGCCCCCGTACCGCACAACACCACCCACGAAGTTATGGCAGGTATGATAGAGGTGGTACAAGCAGACCTCATCATCGTTTCTTCTGATGTCCGACCACGCTTGTCCGAGGCTCTCAAGGAGACGGCCGTGTCCTTCAACGAGCTGTACACTCAAGCACTTCAGACGGTGAGTATCTGCTGCGCTACCGACTCACGTCTATCGCCCGAAGGTGTTGTCGTTCCTTTTCCTCCCGCATGTCATTCGCATTCTCCCCCTCCCACCCCCACCCCGCTTACTCCCCTCCCGTGATTGCTCATGGTGGTGTCCTCGCTAAATTCCCCAAACGTTTATCCCCTTCGTCAACATGGATGTTCCTGTTGTAGCCAATCTCCGACGCGCCGTCCAGCTGGTTCTCCCAGCTTGCCACTCGAGCGGCGGACGATTTGATGAAAAGGCGAAGAGAGGACGCTGATCAGCTTGGACAAGAAGCCACGGCGCCGGGAGAAGCAGCCAGTATGGACTCCACAGCTGTATACCTTTTCACTTCTGCGGCTGTGACTGCTCGGTCTTTGAAATGTGCTTCTATTCCTCACGGCGCTTTGACGGACTCCACAGCTGCTCAAGCAGAAGCATTCGAGCTGGGCACTCAGCCTGGTCGCCACAGCATTGTAGCTTGGGCTCCCTTGTCCCACGCCATGGGGTGCGTAGCATGCAGATCCGCTTCGAGGGCTGCTCACACGCTGCGCAACAAAAGACTGACTCGCGTCTCGTCCTGACGGTCGTACGATTCGCAGATTATGCTCGACATTGTTATCTTGGACCGGCGCATCGCTTGGCTCTTACGTCTTTGCCGCACCTGCAGATGGGATAGCTAATGTGCCAGATCTTTCGCTCAGCGACGCAATCGCGCTCAGACTCCGTCAATCGCAAGCGTCGCTTTTGGAAGCTACTCCCATGATCGTGGATGATGTGGCGGCTGACCCGAGCCTCACCGCTTTCTTGGCCCAGCGCAGAGTCAAGATCCTTTCTGCTGGCGCCCCTCTCGGCGTGCATCACATTGCTTGGGCAATGCACCAACGCATTCACCTCATTGATGGTCCAGGGTCGACCGAGGCTTCTGGATATTGGGGCAGCGGTCGAAACCTGGCCGAAGCTGCCCAAGAATTTCCACAAATCGCCCGCCAGCTTCAAAGCGACATTGCGAGCGTATCGCAAGAAAGCCTTCGCGTGATTCGAGCTGTGAAAATCCGAAAGGGTCTTTCCGCTCATCTCGACGAAAGCAGTGGAGAGCTGGTTCTCATCGGCTCCAGTCGCTCTCTCGGCGCCACTGGCTACCTCAATCGCCCTACGAGCAGCCTGCGCTTGGTGCGCGCGCCTTCCGATGGGAACGCTGGCTTGGTCGAGTACCGCACTGGTGACATTTGCTGCAGAGTCGCGTGGGAGACAGACGGGGAGGAGCGATTCGCGTATGTTTGTCGCAACGACGACTTGATCGTGTTGCAGGGTGGCGAAAAAGTCTCTGCGATTGATTGGGAACACATTTTGAGCGCACAAAGAGGCGTCAGACGAGCGTGCGTCGTAGGGGATGCCATGCCTCGAGAAGAAGACGGGTACGCTGCAGGTGGACCGAGCTCAGCCTTGTTCGCAATCATGGAGATGGAGGATCAAACGTGTCGCGTTGCTGCTCATGGTAGAGCGATCCAAGCACTTCTGGCGGCTAATCAGAACTTCTCTCCCGAAGCTCGCATCCCGCCTGCGAACATCATCATTCTTCCCTCTGGCGAGAGTGTCCCGCTGACGCCTAAACGAAGCATTTGGCGAAAAATGGTATGGAAGACGTTCGCTGGTCAGCTTCAAGTCCGTGCCAAGGCATCCCTACCCACAGCCATCGAATCGAGGCATCGAAAGTCGGAGGGACAGAATTACGTCCGCCAGACGCTCCACAGGATTGCTAGCGTCACGTTTGGATTAAATCCAGAGCTAGATTCAGCTAGCTCTTCCTCTAATCTCGCGACCACGCCATTGTCAGCGCTGGGACTCAATTCTTTGAGTGCTCGCAAAATGGCCGCTTTAGTGTTGGAGCAATTGGACATCACCGTGCAACCGGGCACCATCTACGCCTGCCGGACTCTAGAAGAGCTATGTGGAGTGATCGAAAAGATGATCAGCAAGCCGACCGATACCCATTCGCCTGTGCGCACCTCTGCAAAGATCTCTGACGGAAGAAATGTCCAGCGCGTGATGATCTGCGGCATGTCCTGTCGACTGCCGGGGGGCATCGACACGATCGACCAGCTCTGGGATCGTCTTCTGAACGGCAGGGCAAGCTCAGAAGCCGAAAAGCGACCACAGGAACGATGGAGCAACACTTCTCTGGATTGTGTCGAGCTGTCCTCCAAGCTTCATCGTGCACATTGGTTGAGAAATGAGCTATGCACTCACTTTGATTCTTGGCAATTTGGCATGCCTGCAGCAGAGACTGACCGCACGCCACCCGCAAATCGTCTACTGCTTCGTTGCGCTTTGGAGGCACTAGAAAATGCAAACATGAAGCCAGAAGATCTTCGAGGAGCCGATGTAGGCGTCTGGATGAGCGCTCAAGAACCCAGCGGTTTCAAGTCTCTGCTTGGCGAAATGACAGGAAAGCCCGAGTCCGTGTGGGATCGAAATTACGCTGCAAATATGGCAGATTCGGCGTGTGCTGGTCATATCAGCCACTTTTTCGATCTTCGTGGTCCTGCTGTGATGACCCAAACCGCATGTTCAAGCTCTGCTGTGGCTTTACACCAAGGTAAGAGAGCTACGTCGGTCGGCTTCATGATGAATGAAAATCACCTGACCATCTTGTTTAAAACATTGCAAGCGCGCAATGCGATTTTGCAGGGCGAATGTGACGTAGCTCTTGTCGGCGCAGCCGCAATCGATGTGTGGCCAGGAGGACTGCTGGCCTTGGAACAATGTGGTCTACTCTCGAAAGCCGGAGCTTGTCTCTCCTTTTCACAGCGAGCGGACGGCTTCAGTCCCTCCGAAGGAGTCGGCATGATCGTCTTAGTCGCCCAGAAGTATGCTCGAGAACATGACTTGCACATCCTCGGCTCGATCGCTGCTTCGGCTGTTCGACACGATGGAGCTACTGCTGGCATGGGAACACCCAGTGCTGAATGCCAGGTGAGTCCAAGTCTCATTCCATGTGCATGAGATCGGATCTGCTGTGAGGACTAGCGAGTAAATATCATTTGCCTCAAAATGCAGGAGCAACTCACCCGGATGAATCTCCGGAGCATGGACGTACACCCGGGGGACATTACTGCGGTTGAGAGTGAGTCTCCGCGATCTTTGTTCAATTCGGTGTTGCCTGCATGTCGCTTTTCTAAAGAAGGCCCCCTTATCGCTCAGCTCACGGTACGGGAACCATTATCGGTGATGGAATGGGTGAGTTGCAATTTGATAAGGACCGATGCAGCATGATCTGTCACTCGCTAAGATGGAGAATCTCTTAACTCCAGAGCTTCATAGCCTTTCAGAAGTTTTCTCTCGTGGCAATCGTGCCCACCCACTACTCCTGGGAGCGTCCAAGTCAAGACTTGGGCACACTCAGGAAGCTGCGGGGATATTTGGTGGGTGATAGAGCAGGACGCCTTGGCGCGTGACAAAGTTTATAACGGTAGACGATGCTGACGCATCGTGGCACGTACACAGGTGTCATGCAAGCCCTTTTGAGCTTGCAACATGGTGCTTGGCCAGCCCTTGGTCACACTGATCCACTTGTTCAGCTTCAAACTCAAAATCTGACGTTCGCACAACACCGTGCTGTTCCTCTACCTCGGTCAGCACAGCACATTGTCTTGGTCAACTCTTTTGGACTGACCGGGACAAATGCACAGCTGGCCATCCAGGGTAGCGCTGCTGCTGCGGAACAAAGTTTGGAGCGGTCTCGTCATCGTCATGCGGACCCGCACGAGGGCTTGAGCTCGCAAAAAGCTCTCTTCGTGCTTTCTGCTAAGAGCCATAATGCTCTTAAAAACACTTTACGAGCGTGGACAGAAGCAAAACTCTTGGATGGCATCACGCGGGCCGATTTATCTCCCGCTTCGTTCCAAGACGTGTGCTTTACTCTTCAGACTCGACGAGATCATCATCATCGACGTTTCGCTGTGGCATGTGCCACATTCGCGGAAGCCATCGACGCAGCCTCTCGTGCTGTTTCTCAAGAAACTCCCACACCTGCTATTTCGACAACAGATAGGTTAAGCTTGTGCATGCTGCCGATGTCCGAGCTCACTGTGGATCCAAACCGATACGTGCTACAGCTGCTTGCCGACGCGGAGCGGTGGTGCGAGCTCTTGCCTCACAGCCCCATCCTGTTGCACGGTGAGGGTTTTGGAGGGGTAGCAGCCGCGGTACATGCCGGTCTCATCAGTCGCGCAGCAGCTGAAGAGCTGGTCGCGCTTGTTTGGGCCGAGTGCCAAGGTCATCAAGCGCAGGATTCGTGCACATTGAAAGTGGTTGGAGATTTCGATATCTCCACGCTCAAACTGTGGTGTTCTCTCGCCGGCAGCCGGCTCATCTCCCAAAGCACTGATTACGTTTTGGTTCGAGGGAGCACGCGGTCCATCGAACAGATGAAAAAGAAGCTGCCGACCGACGCCTTTAGGATCGTGGATCATTTTTGGCCAGAAGTCGGCATCTGCCTGCCCTCGTCTGCGCTCTCGATGTGGCAAAACAAGCATGCGCAAGATCTCTTTCCTGCTGCCAGAAGAGATCGTTTTTCCTTTGCATCTGCTACAACCCATCCAATCGCCGAGGGTCAGCGTCTAGGAGCGCAGTACTGGCAAAGGCATTTTGCTGGGCAAGTTTGGCATCCATTCAAAACGTCGACGAGTCATCAGAATGCTCACAAAACGATGATCGTGCTTGGTCATCACGATTCCGAAAAGGATGCGAGCGCCAATTCTGCGCCAAGGCATACTTCTCCAATCCCTGCCCCGACTTCTCGGGATGAGGATTTGGACACTCTGGCTGAAGTTTACATGGCAGGTCATGACATCAATTGGCAGATGCTCGCTTCAGCACAATGTTCGTGTGCCTTCAACCTTCCTAACAGTCGCTTCGACAATCGTTCCCACTGGCCCAGGCCCCGGGCTGCTGCTCATGCTGGAGACTTGCCGTGCTAGTGTTTCGACCTGTGAATGGTGTAACGCTATGCCACCTCTTGTACGTCGGGTTCGCTTGCGTTTCAGAGCTTTTGCATAAAATGATAGATGTGATCGGCTGAGTGACCAGCAGCAAAGATGCGATGGTGAGCGTCAACGTGGGAGAGAGAGAGAGTAGGGGTGAGAAAATATTCCAAAAGGTTCACTCACCCAACTCGTCTGGATGGCTGCCGATGACCTGTGACCGGCAAAGTAGCAGAAAGACTTGAGTCGCGGTGATGACTCGGGCTCAAGGCACGCAGCCTACAAAGGTAGACCAGAGCAGAACAGGGACTGACCAAATGATCCGCATCGATAGTCTGCAGATAAACGTCAACAGCGCTCGGTTGATTGGCAGCAAGGCAAGCTAGAGCATGCGGAAAGATGTCCGATTGTGTGGCGCTGATCAGCAACAGTGGGCATGGGAAAGCTCGGAAGCGGTCAGAAAGGACAGGAAAGGCCTTGCTCCAATTCTCGTAGACGTCCTGTGTGCGCGCACCATCAATTCGGATCGCACCGCGTTGGGAAGGAGCTCTGTCAGTGCTGCGCTGAGGTTCAAGAATTGGTGTCTCTAACGTCTGATCACTGTTCCAACAGCTGTGCTGACTCTTTTTCTATCAATATCTCTCACCATCTCTGTCTCTCTGCTTGTTTTACTCTGCAAAGACCCATCGGCTTGCCGAGTGAAAGCGAACTGAATCAGAATCTCGAGCTGCGAATCCTTCCAATGCCTAAAGAGCGGCATAGATTTGTATGCTTTTCGAGCGATGTCGGCAGAAGAAAAATCTTCCCTTCTTCGAGCCGTCGAGCTCTTCAGCGCCTTGACGTAACGCGGCTCCGCACTTGCTGCCGGGCTGCTCGCGGCTGCCAGCGCTGTAGGATCGATCGCAACGACGCCGAGGACTTTGACGTTGCTGTCGGTCAACTTGATCGCGGATTCTAACCTGATACCGAGACAGGCCGAGGCGCGTATACATTCAGCGCGGTCTGGTATGCCTGCGAAACAAAGCATGGGGCAACGTACACCGCTGAGCTTCCGGCAGAGTGCCCCACCAAAATGAAGTCGCATGTTTCAGACGACCTCGATGCAATATCATGCACCACATCGATGATGTCTGCTTGCCAGATTTCGTGTATCCCTATTGAGTGATCCGAGCGCAGGAGTGAGCACTTGGAGTGAGTGCTTGTGAATGCAAGATTGCGAAGCAGGCTGTACCTGCGGCCCTGATTCCGGTAGCCAGAGCCCCACTACTCACGTCCCTCTTCTATCGATCGACCATCCTGGCGATTGAGCCGATCGCTCTCACCCATCCGAGACATGTCGAAACAAACACACGCGACATCGTTTTGCCCTTGCGCGTTCGGTGTCGCCACCACGTTCTCAGACAGACGATTGATGACGTGTAGCCACAGCTCCTTTGGCAGGCCTGTACCGTGGATGAACAGCACAATTGTTTGACGCCCACCTCGCGAAGCTATGCTTGGAATCATCCTCGTAAGAAGATGAATGGATCGCCCTCGAGAGTTAGTGATGACTGTTTCTTGGACGCCATCTTGGACGCCATCTCGAGCTGGGCGTTTGTTGATCGGGCTCGCTGCAGACCATGGAGCCGGGTGCCCAGGCAGAGAGTCAGACGCGTCGTCCAGCAGCACAATGGACTTTCCCACGCTTTCGCGTCCACTCTGGAGCAACAGCGAGTCCAAGTGAGCAGCAGCAATAGCGGTAGATGGGCAGAGAGCGACGCGGCTAAGCAATCCAGTCCAGCTTCCTCACCTCAAATAAGCTTTGGAAGCACAATGGGCATTGCTCGAGCCCTCTCCTCACGTTGACGATGGGACGCAAAGCTCCCTGTCTGAACCACTCGTAGAGATCCTCCTTGGCTTTGGTATGAGATTCCATGATTTCGCCCGTCACCAAGAGACCCTGCACTGTTGAGCCAGTCTCGATCACGCGATACATGTTTGTGAGTCCGCGAGGCTCAGTAGACTTGTAAGCTGTTCATCACCACAGATGTGCACGGCAAGAATCGCTCGTGGTATCAGACGCGGTACGCTGCATGCATGTGGCGAATGCGATTCGGCTCTGCTCACCCGTCATGAACCCACTGAGCGCCACGCGTGCGCCTGGCGACAGTGCCAGCAGTGCTTGATCAAGCACGCGTCCTCCAGCCTGTGCAGTGGAAGGGCAAAAAGAGTCGACGGATGAGCCTGTCATCCGAAAACAAAAGCAGAAAGGTCTCGGAGCGTGAAGGGGGGATGAATCACATTATCGAGAATAATGTCAAGACCCGGATTGAAGGCGCGCCGAAGGTCGGGATTAGAGACGGTCCTGTAGTCCAACGCGACATCCACTCCAAGCACATCCTTTAGCCACTTGATTTTGGCGTCAGACCCCGCGGTGGCGACCACATGAGCGCCTTTGAGCTTGGCTATCTGAACAGCAATGGTTCCTACGCCGCCTGCAGCGTTGGTGATGAGTACTCGATGACCTCTTTGTATGCGACCGAAGTCTACGAGACCCAAGTATGCCGTGAGACCCGTGTGGGACAAGATGCTGCTCCACACCGCTAGTGCCTCCTCGTAGTTCTGCACCTGGCGCTGTATTCTCGTGTCGCAGAGGATCAGATGTTGGCCGTGGGATGCGACTTGGAAGATGGCATGACTTTGCCAGCCTACCAAGCCGTACACGTGATCTCCGGCACGAAATTTTGGACAGCGGGACTCTGTGACCAGAGCGACACCCGCTGAGCGTATCACATCACCGACGCGCACAGCATCGGCGTATGCCACGGCAGCGGTGGTTAGCCAAGCACGAAGCGCCGGTTCGATATTGAGACAGAGGATGCGACATCGGATCTCTCCTTTTTTCAACGATGTTGGAAAGGCATCGATATCGAATGATTCCAAGGTGAAGAGCGAGGCGAGTTGTCTTCCGCTGTCGTCATCACTTTGACCGTTCCTCGCTTCACGCTTAGCCAGCGTGATACGCTGTCCGCCCACCCTGGATTTCATGCGGCTTTGGGGTGACGCCAGAGTGGCGCCTGCTGTCGGAACAGTCACAGTGGTGAGTGCAGAGATTGAATGTAGTCAATGGGAATGCACGATCGATCGCAATCCGGGCGTAGGCGTTCGCATGATGAATCAAGATTCAGACTCACGCTCTATTGTTTGCGAGCTGGAAAGGATTGCCGTGGAATGATTCACAATGAAGAAGGAATGTCGACATTAGGAACGTGAATGGTAAGGGGGAATATTAATGGGGCTACGAGCACCTAGGTGAGCATACGCACGACTCAGTTTCCTGGATTGTATTCGTGATTCATGTTGCATCCTGGACCTGCTGATGCGCTCAATCGTGAATGATTGTGTGATTCTTGATTCCAGTCGAGTGGAGCGAGCGGCAAAGCCTCGTATGGAGACGCTAAGGCTTGTTGCGGTCTAAGCTTGTTTCAATTGCGCCCAGCATTTACGAGTGTGCAGGTTTTGATTGACGCTTCCCGTTATACGGCACTTGATTGCCTCTGCCGACCACGAATGTGTGCGCATGGATCAACCAGCACCACTCTGACTCACATATATCACTCTGACTTCCTACTCGATCTCTACACTACGCTTGACTCTTGACTCATTTATAGATGTGTCGCCGATGCATGCATGCATGCAGCTTTAATTGTCTCCCCTGCGTAGGAGCCATGCATGCATGAGCCATGCGGATGCTGCAGCGACGACGCGCGCGCACTATATACTACTGTACTACTCGCTGCATGGTGCCGCCGAGCAGCAGCAATTAATGCCTGCTGGCTCGCTCGCTGCATGCTGCTGGCTGTACATGCAGCACTTGCAGCAGACGCGGTCGGGCGTATAGGGCCGCGCGCGCTACACATCACCGGCAGCCATGCATGCATCATCGACCGACGACGCACGCACTCGAAGGTCGCGATGGAGCGAAGATTCGGTGATTCTCGATTTATTTGATGCGAAGCAAGCATGCAAGCAAGCTTTGGTGCATGATATTATGTGACCTGCATGTGCTGCATGCTGGCTGCTATATATATATATATACACATATATGCATGACTGCAGCAGCATTCACAATCTTCAAATCACTTGATTCTGGCCGCTATTCTGCTCATGCGATGGATGGTAAAGGGGATCGAGGTTGCGCTGCATGGCGAGGGAAAAGGGTCTGCGTCGATGAAGGCGAGCTTTGCTACAACAAGTCGTGAGTGGTGTGGGTGTGAGTGTGAGTGTGAGTGTGAGTGTGAGTGTGGGTGTGAGTGTGAGTGAACATTACCACATCGCTGTTGTCTCACGTCTCACGACTGTCCAAGGCCGTTAGACTAAAGCTTAGAGACGCATGGCTCTCGAGATGGTCGACCCAGCGCCAGCGAACACATGACCTGACCGCGCTCATAAATAGCCTGCGCCTGCGCAAATCAATACCTCAAACTTACCACAAGTCCTCCACGTTCCATCGCATGCGGCAAAGAAAACACGCGCTCGCACTCGTCATTGTGATTGTATTCACCATTCTTTCTACATACATCCCTTCCTAGCCCTCGCCTGTTGCCCTGCCCCTTCCCCCCCCACACACTCCTCTATCCAACATGGCAAACCCTTTCTTGAGCCTATACAAGTTCTGCTACCAGGTCTACTATTTCATCAGCGTTGGCTTCTTTCGGTTGCCTGCTGACCTCATTGCGAATGCCAGCCGCTCTGGCGAACGCAGGTACGCATTTCAAGAGGCAATCCTGCTCTCCCTCTCAAAGCATGTCCTTCACGTCTTGGTCTCCGTCAACGGCGGTGTTCGTGGGCAATACTTGTCCCAGCAGACAGACGCGGAGCGTACGAGACGTTTCCAGTCCATCGGATCCATGCCCGACGTCATTGCAGGTGTCGAAGAGCAGCGCCTCAAGGGTCACATTGCGTTCGCACTTCGAGTGCTTGCCGAAGCTACCGAAGCACCTCGCAATGCAGCTGAGGTGGCACAGTCTCAAACGGACGCTAAATTCAAATCTTCCAGAGATCTCCTCGCCAAACCTGTGCCCGTCGGAATCTTTTGGACGGGCGAGCGCGCGTCCAAGCTGAAACAGTCGCGTGCTCAACCTGGAGAGAAAGTGGTGCTGTGGCTCCACGGGTGAGCTCTACCTAGCTTTGCGCACGTGGCCCCCAGAGTTTTCGAAAGGCCTTGCGCTAAAGTGTCTCGTTATGCTTGTCCCCGATTTTCCCCGCCGCGCTCAAACCGTTTCAAGAGGTTACTATTTCCTCGGCACAGCAGAGACGAACAGCAAGACTGCCTACTCCACGTTGACTTTGGATTACCTCGATGCAAGCCGGCGAGCGGGCGCCGCTGCCAGTGCGGGATCGAGCATCCTGGCAATCGAGTACCGCAAATCAGACAGAGCGCCATGGCCGGCTCCTTTGATCGACGCGCTCGCAGGTTGGAATTATCTCACTGCAGAACTGGACTTCAGACCTGAAAACGTCATTCTCATGGGGGAATCTGCGGGTGCTCATCTGGCTCTCGCCTTGACGCGGTACCTCAAAGAGAATCTGGATGTCCTGCCTGGTGCGAACATCCTTGCGTGCGTGAGTTGTGCCACCCATGTCCATGTCTGCTCTCATTCTGCGATGACTTGATCCGTGTTGACGTGATTAGCCTTGTTCTCGCTGCAGCCATACCTAGACTTGACTGGTGCTTTGGCAAAGTGTGTTTTGAGATTGCCCGGGTCCGATCGCCTTCATGCATCGCTATCGTGACATCTTGCTAAGCTCCTTGTGCCCATTGGCCCCCCCCTTTCTGCAGAGATCCAAAGGGATCTGCCGCGAAAAACGCTGCCGTGGACTGGTTGAGTCCTGTGGCAGATGCGTACGCTAGAGCCAAATTGGTTCCGGAGTACCTGGGAAGCTCAGAAAGGAAACAGCTTTTGCAGAGCACCTATCTTAGCCCGTCCTATCCCTCCTCATCAATCTATGGCGCAGAAGGGAAGCAAGTCTCAGAAGCATCCATCTATGAAAATTGGTGCCGCACCTTTGTATTCGTCGGGTGCGTCGCTGCGAGCAAAATTCCAGCAGCGAGAACATGCCAATGAGGGAGAGGCGCAGCAGCTGACCCAGATCGCATCCGTTTGTTTCATGTTGGGGGATATTGTTGCGCCAACGGGCGCGTGGCGCTTTTTCCCCCTTGCAGCACCAACGACATCCTCTTTGACCACTCTGACATTCACGAGAGGCGCTTCCGACTGGGCAATAATGGCAAAGTGTCGGACAAGAAGTTCTACGACCGATTCGACGTTGCCGGAGCTCCGCACGCTTTCCACATGCTTCCGCCCCCCTCTTTTGCCTCTCAGCGCAAAGAGGCTGCTGATCGCGCCGTAAGGTGGATCTCTTCGGTCTGAGCTATTGCACTCACGCTCACCCGTTTGACAGCCCCGACGAATTTGCCGAATCCCATGTCGACTGCACGCACCCGACCTCGCCTCCGCTTTTTTTTTTTCTTTCTTTTTCTTTCCCCCTCTCGCTGCTTCTGACTGCCCCCTACGATGGCATCGCATTCTCTCTTGTTTTGGGGGCCCTACTTTTGACTCCCTTTGCTTTGACGTTGCACTCTCAGAAAGACTAGTCAGGCTCGTAGCCTTTCTCTCTTGCCCCTGCGCGAGCGATCCCACGATTCGCTCAAGATATGCATGATTCGCCCGCCTCAAATTCAAACCGCTTCTCCTCCGTCTTCGTGCTAATCTGTAAACGAGTAGCGGTGACCCTTTGCGCGCGCGCTCACGTCGTCGCAAACCTTCTGTTGCATGACGATCATGGTGTTCAGTCAAGGGATCACGTATCGAGTGGAATGTACATGCGAGTGCGAGCGCGCGTGGCGGCGCGTCGCACCTCCTGGGTCGCCTTGGAGCGCAATGATTGGGGGAATAGAATCGAGAAAATGCTACTCCAGCAAACATAGTCCAGTGAAGCTACCGGCATCTTTGAGCAAGCATCTACGATCCGTACCATTGGTACGATGACTCCAAATCGAGCCGCCGAGGTCAGCGACGTAGATACGAGCGTCAGGGTGGTGAGGTGTGGATGAGATGGCTAGCCCTATCGCTTCGTGAAAGCCCAGCGAAACCAGGAGAGGAGCGAAAGAGGCGGGTGTCAAGCGCTGCACCTGCGATGCAGCAGCCTGCGCAGCAGAAGGCTTCTGACCGCGCCCCTCCTTGTCGCACCGACCCACCCAGAACCTCAGGACGGAATTTCCGAAGGGAACTTCTCCGCGCGTGGTGCAATAGAGCCACTGCCCGTCAGGGCTGAGGTGCAGGTCGATCGGTTCGGGCAGTGCGTCGGCGATCGTGTGCACAGATTCGGAATCCGGTGTCAAATGTGATGCTTCTTCTTCTTCTTGCGACTGCGAAGCGATGGTGGGGAGCGGAGCACAGAAGATCCTTCCCGACATGCTCTTTGCGTAGCCTTTTTGCGTCCAGTACAGGAGCTCCCTCTGCGCGTCTATCGCTATTCCCACGCACCAATCTCGCTGATCTACAAGAGGTTTCGGGATGTGCGCGGGCTGAGAGCGATAGATGGTCTGTAAAGAGCTTCCATCCGGCTTGATGCTCTGGATCCGACCACCTTCTCGATCGCACCAGTAGATCCTATCCGTCTTCTCCTCGTAATAGACTTGCTTCGGCGTGTGCGTCTGTCCAGGTCTGACTACGTATTCTGGCTGCGCCGAGCAGCTCACGTGGCGTGCTTTTGATGCACCGACGCGCTCCCCTTCTGGCCCGTGTCGAACTGAGAGCGGCACTCGCAGTATCCATCCATTATCGGAGGATGGGGTGCCCATACAAGTAACGTATGCGCACCCTCTCGAGGCATCAAAAGTCACCCCATCCGGACCGCGCAGGGATCCTGAAGGGCCGAAGCTCGATAGATCGCACACCTCGTGTGTTTGACCCGTGTGCGCATCGATGCAAAGCAATTTTGCTCGGAGCAATTCCAATGCTAAGAGGTAGGGCGTGGGCATCTGCCTAAGCCCACGTGAGACTCTCTGAGCATCGAGCAATTGACGCTCTTGACCTGATCTGATCTGCAACATCTTGTACAGGTCGAGGCCGTCAGGCACTTGCTCTGGATGTGCTTCCTCTATACTGCTTGGCGCCCTGCTACATGCAAAGCGGAAGTCTCGAACAGCCGCGCGGAGCCTTTCAAGGGGGCTTTGTGCGTCCATTACTCTTTTGTAAGTGCGGGGGGATAACATCGCGTCAGATCGGCAAGGCGAAACGCGTCGTGGCCGAAGAGATACGCAGCCAAAGAGGCACCCAAAAAATGAAAGGGCGCCCACCGGAAGCGTAGGCCCATGAAAGGCCGGATATAAGATGGATGCATGGATGCGGCGCGAGAATTCAGAACTCACCTTCGCCAGGTTGTCAATCCTAAAGCCGCGGTAAGCGAGTCGAGAGCGGTGAGGGAAGAGTTTGAGTATAAATCGGCCGATGGGCCATCTGCACTGGCCGGAAGGAGAATCTCGAGGGCAGCACTGTCGAGGATATCGTTATCGCGAGTGGGAAGAAGGTGCAAGAGCATCGGGAACGCCTGCGCCTGTTCATTCGTCGATTCACGTGATTCTTCGTCCGACTGCGCAGGCGCAGGCGCAGGCGCAGGCACAGGCACGGGCACGGGCACGGGCACAGGTAGCATGATCGCCTTTGCTTGCGATGCCGACGGTGAGCTGGCGCTTAGATCCAGCAAAAGCGCGGAAGTGGAAGTGGAAGTGGAAGTGGAGGCGGAGGCGGAGGCGGAGGCGGAGGCAGCAGAGTCGTGAGTCAGACCGACATGCTCAGCAAAGGGCAAGGTGAGAAGCGTGTTGCGGGCTCGATAGCGCGGCACCATAGCCAGCCTGTCGAGGAGGCCAAGTTGAATTTGCGACGACTTTGCTTGCTCTTGCTCCTCGGACATACGACACTCTTCATCGCGATCGCAAATTAGATTGACGTTGGCGCCAAAGGCTAGCCAGAACAGTGCTGCATCTTGCGCCCAAGAGCTGCTACCGAGAATGGTAATGGTCGGTGTGGAAGGCACGGGTGCCGGTGCCGGAAGGGAGAGAGGGGCAAGCCGCGGAAGTGTAGCCATGTTTGATGGAAAGGTGGTCAAAGGGGGAGGGGAAGGAAGAGGGGAACGGGCAACGGGAAGCGTAATCGGTGTCAAGCCGATGATTGCCTCGACGCTCGACGAAGTGTGCGAAAGGCGCACTGCGCTGCGCTCCAATCCGTTCAGGTTCAACCCAGAAAGCTGGCGGGATGCAGCAGCAGCATGGACGGAGTCTCAGTCACTGAGTATATACAGCAGTCAAGTCACGCGCGAGTACACTCGATCGTCACTCGATCGTGACTGGCTTGCATGGCTTAAGTTGACTTGATTGTGATTGCTTGGTCGATCGCTTGATTGACCGCCGTGATTCAAATTTCAATTAAGATTGCTTGCTTTGCTTGCTTTCTGATTCTGATTCAAGATTCTGAATTCAACCTAGGGTCGTTCTTCTTTCGCGCACGGCCCTCCCGGCTGCTGCTCCACCCGTGCATCAATCAGCCTTAATTGCCGTCTTGCCGCTTTAATTAGCAGCATCAGCTCTTGCATTTGCCGCTCGCTCGACGGCGCCATGCATGCATATATATATGCTGTACCTGCAGTCAACAGTCTGCTGCATGCTGATTGCAACCTCAGCAAGTAGTCCTCTGCACACGTCGACTAGGCTGCAGTAAATTTTCATGCGCATCAAGGTGCATGCATATATGCATGCATCAAGGTCTGAGCTAGCGTGCGACGCACGGTCGCGCTATACGCGCATGCATGGGACGCATCCACCGAATCCCCGCGGGTGCATAGGCAAATCAGGCGCCGCGGTGATCGACTCGACGCGATTAATCGTGATTCCAGCAAATGCAACCACCAAGCATGTGCATCAATCAGCGGATGGATGGATGTTGGCGAATTTCTCTTTCAAGCTGACCAAGAGGACAATCACAATCACAATCGGAATATGATAGGGTGAATCACGAATACACGAATCGCACGACTCCCTCCGCCTCGTCTTTGCAGTCAAGAGTCACGAGTCCTCTGCGCGTTTTCCCCCCAACGCTCCTCTCGTGACTCACGACTCGTATCGTTGGCCTACCTAGACTCGCAACGGCTACTTTTGCACTCACAATCACAATCACATTGTCATGGCGGTTTCGCCTGGCCTGGCCGGCAGCAAGCACCAGGTGCCAAGCATGCCCTCCTCTTGCGATGCCGCTATGGCTTGCAAAGATCCGGTGGTCATTGTCAGTACGGGCTACCGATTGCCTGGTGGCATCGACAACGACGAAGACCTTTGGAAAGCGCTACTTGCACCTCGCGCCACTGCCAACAAGCTGCTCACCACCCCGCCTGCGAATCGGTGGCCTGCCCCTGATGCGGTCGCTCCCCATCACAGTAATGCTCGCACTCTTGTAGATCTCATGCAATCCTCCTTGTTGCAAGAATCAACCCCTCGCGGTGGTTGGATCGTGGATGGCGTCCACTCCTTTGACCCGACAGCTTTCGGTATCCCTGTGAGGGAAGCACCCAAAGTGAGACCATCTGCGCGCCTTCTCCTCGAGTGTGCGCGCGATGCCATTTATCGTGCCGGTCTGGCCACATCTAGCTTTCGCGCTTCCTCGACAGGCGTATATGTTGGCACTAAGCCCGAGGATAATTGGAATGATTTGCTCAACGCTTCCAATGCTCCGATCACGGAGGTCAACGACCGCTTCATTGCTGGCGCTACCAGCTTCGGCACTGCTTCGGCTCGTCTGAGCTCTTGGCTCGGATGCGAAGGTCCATGCATGACCATCGACACCGCCTGTTCCAGCAGCACCGTCGCTCTCCACCTCGCCACTCAATCGCTGCTTACGGGAGAGAGCGAACAGTGCCTTGTTGGCGGAGTCACAGTTCATGCTCACCCGTCCAGCTTTCATGCTCTCTCCGCCTCGCGCATGCGATCCACATCCAACCAAAATGTTGGGTGCGAGGTCTTTGCCGACTCAGCGTGCGGCTACGTCCCCTCCGAAGGCGCTGTCGTCATGCTCCTCATGCGCGAGAGCGCCGCGTTGCGTCGCAACCTGCCTATTGCAGCCAGATTGATGGGCACTGCGACGAAACACTTGGGGCACTCCTCTGCTGGCTTCCTCGCACCGAATGCGCAGGCCGAGGCTGACGTCATGCGACTCGCCCTTCGAGCGGCGAACATGGATGCGGAGGATGTCGATGTCCTCGAGCTGCACGGAACGGGCACGCAAGTTGGTGATGTGACCGAAGCTTCGGCCATTCAGCAGGTGTTCGATTCTGATTCTGCTTCGTCTGACTCGGACTCGCGGCAAGCATCGACGCGCATCACCGTCACCTCCCTCAAGACCGCTTTGGGGCACACGGAAGAGGTCTCTGGACTGGTCGGCATCATCAAAATGCTGATTTGCCTCCAGCGAAATCTGATTCCCCCCTTCCTCTTGTACGGTGATCCAAACCACAAGATAGACTGGCTACGAGCCGCGTTCAAGCTGAACAGCACCGCAGCGATTCTGCGCCCTTCTGCCGCGACCCGTAGCACCACCACCACCACCGCCATGATCAACAGTTTCGGCGCGTTTGGCGTGGTCTCAAGCAGCGTCATACAGTCTGCAGCTCAGCATCTGAGCAAACGCGCAAGTTTCCTCCCAACTCTCTGCTTGAGTGTGTCAGCTCGCACAGCGACGCAATTGGCATCTTTCATCTCCCACTATGCCGACGCTGTCGAGCGGTGCACCGCACCGCACGATCTCGCCTCGCTCGCTCGTCGGACAGCTGGGCTCATCTCTAGCGAAGACCCCTTCCGTTTCTCCATCCCTGTAGCAGGTGATCGTGGCCAATTGATCAGTACACTTCGGTCGACTGCAGCACAAGCTACACACAGCGGATTTGAAAAGACCATTGCACGAACAGTTGTATTTGTCTTTGCTGGACAAGGTCGCGCGATTGCCACAGAGGCGTGCCAGCTGCTCTGGTCCAGCAACGAAGCTATATTCTGCAGAGCTCTCCGTGATTCGAGCAGTGTGCTCGGCTTCAACGTGATCGAGCATCTGTCCGACAATCGCCCTTCCTTCCACCAGCCGACTGTCATTGCTTTGCAGCTGGCTTTGGCTCGCCTTCTCGAGTCATGGAACATTCTCCCCGCCGTCGTACTAGGACACTCGCTCGGCTCGATCTGTGCAGCGCAGATGGCAGGTTTTCTCTCCATTGACGAAGCGCTTCGCTTGGCGCAGAAGCGCGGGCAGCTTCTTGAAGCTCTCGTTGACGCGCCGGGCTCTATGCTTGCTGCCAAGCTGGACCGCAAAGCTGCCTCAGACCTCTTGGAGGAGTTGGACCTACCTGGCGTAGTGATTGCTGTCGAAAATACTGCAAGAAGCATGGTCTTCTCCGGTCCAGCAGAAAGTGTCCTCGACCTGCAGGCGGCTTTGACGCGACGAGGCTTCAAGACACGCATTGTCAACGATCGATTTGCGTTCCACTCACCGCAAATGGAACCCATCTCGGAGCCTCTCGAAGCGTTTGTGGACGAGCTCTTGTGTGAGAGTCCGGAAAACTTCAAGCTGGCCACGTTTCCCTCCCTCATTTCAGATCACACTGGTGGCCAAATTCCAAAGGGCACGCGCTTGGGCGGTGGCTACTGGGCGAGACATGCTTGCGAAGCTGTGCACTTTGGAGCTGCGCTGGACACCGTCGCCTTGCAAGCTGATGGCGCAACGCCCTTCTATGTCGAGGTAAACGCCTTTGCAGCTGCTTTTGGTGGATTCTTGAGCGATTCCACGGCGGTGGTGGATAAAACAGGAAATATCGCTCTCTCGAATCTCCTCGCGCAAGCTTTCGGCGCTGGGGTTGACGTAGATTGGAACGCAGTCCATGCAAGCTCCCCTGCACCGCGCTCCGACGGACTTGCGCACCCCATTCCGCTACGTCGCCAACGCTACTGGCCGTCCTTCGAAGTTACTTCTCCCACATCTCTGCCTCAAGGCTCTGCAGTGGTCGCTAGACACGCCATCTCTTCCCCTTCATTAAAATCAATTCCAACCTTGCTCGTGCCGCACTATGCAAGCCAAACGATACCATACGAAGCTGAAGCTGGAACGGTCATTTTCGAAACGCCTATGGGAACATTTGGTGCTGCTGTCCTTCGTGGTCACCGTCTTTGTGGTCTGATCGTATTTCCCATCGTATTGTGAGTGCTGAACTTTAGCCGCCGACTTCACACGCTTATGCTGACCGTCGCCCCCACCCTCGCTCGTCTCAAGCATGATGGAATATGTTCTCAAATGTTGTTCTAGGCATGAACGGCTCTCTTCTGCGTCGACGTTGAGCAACCTGAAATTCTTGCGGCCTGTGGCCGTATCAGATGCGGAGCTCGAGAGCGTGAGCTTGCGTCTCGAAGTGGAGGCGCACAGCACCTTCAGGCTGTTTGCGAGGCTACCTTCTCAAACGACGGCATCTTTGGTCGTGATGACGGGAGAGATCGGTGGGCAATTTGGCGTTGCGCCAGCTCAAGCACACGCGAAACAATCGGACATTGCCCCGGCTCTTCGAGCTCCCATCGACGAGACTTTTTATGCCGCACTGCGCGAAGGCTCGCCATTCGACCTTTCAGGTCACTTTCAACGCATTGCGCTCCGTCAGCGCCGGGGTGGTGACCTCAATGTGACTTTTGGAGCATCACTGTGCGAGCCTTCCTCTTGGATGTTCGATCCAGGAGCTATGGATGCCTGCATGCACGCTTGTGCTTCGACGCAGCAGCGTCATCTAAAGACCTTGCTACTGCCTAGCGCTTTGGAGCGCTTCTCCCTGATTTTGCCTGGCGCAGATTGGGGCGACACTCGGGCAACGGTTCGCCTTGTCGATGAAAGACCGGTCGACTGGTTCGTCCACAATGGTGAACAAACCATCGCTGCTGCTCAAGGTCTACACTGCATCGACGTGCCACTGCGTGTCATCACAGCGAGCATTTCAGACAAGGACAAGCGGAGAAATGCATCATTTAGCCCACCTGCTGTTTCTCACTCACAAGTCGACTCTCTACCTGAGCGGTCGCTGCCGCCTTTCGACCACTTTGTTGCGCAGCGCACTTGGAAACCTGTGCGCTCACGCGCCCTCACTTCGGCTCGCACTACGCACAGCAGCTTTACGATACTAGCAGATGACGTTGAGCTTGCGAAAGAATTACTCAATCTTTCCGGCGCCGACGGGCGTGTCATCACTAGCCGACAAGACGTCTATGAGAATCTCCGATCTCATCACTCTGTTGAGCTCATTTCCAGCGCCGCAGACGACGTCGCCATGAGCAAGGCCTTGTCGCGTAACGCTGGTAGCTCAAGCGGCAAGCAGGCGCTGATATGCGCCTGGCCGTTGAGCGTGATCGATGCAAGTCCCGAGTTGGCTATGGATCATGTCGATCTGATAAGCGCAAGGCTGCTGTCATTGATGAAGGCACTTGTGAATCAGACTTCTGCGTGGTCTGCCGTCGTCATAACACGAGACGCGCTGCACGGTCATGTCACCAGCCCTAGCGGCGTCATCTCGAGTACTCTGCATGGGATGGTGTCTGGCTTTGCGAACGAACTGCGTGGCCGGACAACTTGCGTCGCTCTGGACACTTGCGCGCTCCTTCGGCCCGCGCAAATAGCTTCTGCTACCGAAGAGATACTGGCTCTGTCGGCGCAGAGCCTTCCGCCAGGACCTTTCCGATACGAAATCGTCGATGGTGTTGTTCGAAGATTGGCACCAAGCTTGGACAAGTATCAGCCTGCTCAGATCCAACACCGTTTGCCTTCTGAAGGCACTTGGGTGATCACCGGTGCTTCGGGGACCATTATGACGGTTATATTACCCTGGCTCGTCAAATCTCAGAGAATACAGCAGGTTGCTATATTTGGTAGGCGCAAACAAGATCCAGTAAGCAGCTCCGGTCTCCACCTACATCTGTGCAGAGCAAGCTGAAATATTTTATTTTGTTGCTTGTACGCTCGCAGAATTATTTGGCTGATGTTCGGAAGCGCTTGCCTGCGGATGTGCAAGTGCATTACGAAACCGTCGACCTGCACAGCAGCTTTAGCGTGTCGAACGCAATGAAACGAGTGCCTGGTACCGTCAAAGGCATCGTGCACGCTGCCGGAGTGACTCGACCTGCCCTAGTTCGCGTGCAGTCGCGCGAGGCGTACGATGAAGTCTTCGCACCGAAAGTGAAGGGTGCCTGGAACTTGCACCAGCACGCCCCGAGTACTCTTGAACATTTTGTCCTCTTCTCTACCTTTGCGTGAGTGACGGCACTTCTACTTGTAATGTTGCCAGCCTCTACTGACACTTGACGTCGTCGATCTGGATCGCAGCACCGTGAATGTGTTCCCTGCTATGACGAACTACCTTGCTGCCAACTTCTTCTTGAACTCGCTTGCAAGTTTCAGGCGGACTCAAGGTCTGCCCGCCATGGCTATCGGATTTGGGTCTTGGCCCGGCTCACCTATGCTGGATGGTTTGAGCCCTGCTCTGAACGCCGAATGCCCGCCGCTCGTTGACACCAAGGCGTACAGGGAAATCGAAAAGTTGATGCTAATGGAAAGTCCGCCTGCAATGCTTTACCTCGCCACACTCGCTCATGATATGGTAGATGACCCACACAGCAAATACAGGCTTGATCCACAATGGAGACATCTGCTCGATTCATTAGCAAGCCAGCGATCTGCTTCTTCCCCTCGCCTCCCTGCCGCCGCTTCCACAATCGTCGACGACTTCACAGGTGCTCTTGCAGAATTGCCTGCATCGCTGGTGCAGTCTGGTACTGTCGCTGTGCAAATGCAAGAACCAGCAATACCGTCACCTCCCGCGCCGCCCGCGGCAAACGGCCTTTCGACGTCCGCCTCCCCATCCCCACGGCTGCTGGAGGAGGAAAGCGACTTGGAAGCTCCTGCGCGTATTGCCCCAGGTGCGGATCCTCGTCATGTCGCGCGCGATATCAAGGAGCTCGTGCTGCACATCTTTGGCTTCCACGACGATCATGCGCGGGAGGAGTTTCGAGATGACCAGCGACTGGAAACGTACGGTTGGGACTCCTTGTACCACCTCGAACTGACCAGCCAGGTCAAAGAGAAGCTCGGCATCGAGCTGCCCGAGTCTCTCGACACGGGTATGGCCACGTTGCAGGAGATATGCGCAGTAGCGGCAGATGCGCTCATCGCGGTGAATCACAAGCCTTGAGGGCCACGCACGCCCCCTCGATCGAGATCTCTCTGATGCGCGCAGGCGAATTTCCCGCGGGCAGGAGGAAAGCTGCTCAAGACACCAACCATGCACTCACGACCATGCTCCGACATGGCCTTTCTCCTCCCACGCAAATTCCAAGCCACGCGCCCCGATCATGGTCGCGCGAGATGGGCGGGAGCATTCAAGATTGTCTGCACAATCAAATCATCGCAGATTCGTGATTGCTTTGAGCCGTTCTGATTCGATCTCTTCTGCTGCACACTCCGGATCTTTTGGCGCGAGATGGCCTTGCATGGCTGCAACAGCTCGCGCCGCTCCTGCTGGCTGCATCCATCATTACTGCGCGCGGTCAGGAATACAGGGGGCCTTCTCCATGCTGCAGCACTCGAAATGCCCCGGCGAAAAGTCGATACGGCTCGCGGCGCCCAGCAGCACAAAATGAAAGTGGCATGCATGCATGCACGCATGCATGTTGTTACGGCGAAATAACCTTACTCAATGTTATATGCACTCATCTCCGCATATCGAATATCCCTGCACGCACGGGGCGCCTCTCGCTCTCTGGCAAGTCACCGAATTCAAATTTTGGGTGAATGTGAATGTGAATGTGAATGTAAATGTAAATGTAAATGTAAATGTAAATGTAAATGT